ACGGATTACTAGAGCTCCTACTTATCTGTCTGAGTATCAATGTTCACTAATACCTTTCATTTCTCTTGATTCTAATACTTCCTCTTCTATTACTTCTTCTAATATTTCTAATATTTCTACAGTTTCCTTACCAGAGAAAAATTTTCCTATTCTTCATACTCAAATTTCTTCTAAGCCTTTTACAACTCCATATCCTATACAGTCAGTGGTTTTTTTTGATAAATTCACACCACAATATCAATCTTATATCTTTGCTTACAGTCAAGAAAAAGAACCTAAGACTTTTGCTCAGGCTATGAAATCAGAGAAATGGACAAAAGCTGCTAATGAGGAGCTTCATGCTCTTGAGCTGAATAAAACTTATGTGGTGGAGACTCTACCTCCAGGGAAGAATGTTGTCGGATGTAAATGGGTATTTACAATCAAATACAATCCTGATGGAACAGTAGAGAGATATAAAGCTAGGCTGGTGGCTCAAGGGTTTACACAACAAGAAGGGATTGACTACATAGACACTTTCTCACCTGTTGCCAAACTCACTAGTGTAAAATTCATGCTTGCTTTGGCAGCTGCTACAGGATGGAGCTTAACACAAATGGACGTGTCTAATGCATTTCTTCATGGTGACTTAGATGAGGAGATCTTTATGAGCTTACCACAGGGTTATACACCTCCACAGGGAACGAGTTTGCCTCCAAACCCGGTTTGCAGGTTACTAAAATCTCTATATGGCCTAAAGCAAGCCTCCCGACAGTGGTACAAAAGACTCTCATCAGTGTTCTTAGGAGCTAACTTTGTTCAATCTCCTGCAGACAACACATTATTTGTCAAGATTACAAATACATCATTCATAGCTGCTTTAGTATATGTGGATGATATTATGATTGCAAGTAATGATGATGTTGCAGTGGAAGATTTGAAGCAGTTGTTAAGGTCTGAATTCAAGATTAAAGACCTTGGACCAGCAAGATTCTTTCTTGGATTGGAGATATCAAGGTCATCAAAAGGTATTTCAATCTGTCAAAGAAAGTATGCTCAGAACTTATTGGAAGATGCAGGTTTCTTAGGATGTAAACCAAGTTCAATACCAATGGATCCAAACCTGCACCTCACCAAAGATAAAGGAAATCTGTTACCAAATCCGACTTCTTATCGAGAATTGGTTGGAAGGTTGCTTTATCTGACAATAACCAGACCTGATATCACTTATCCTGTTCATCAGTTGAGCCAGTTCATCTCTGCTCCCACTGATATACACTTACAAGCAGCACACAAGGTTCTCAAATATATCAAGGCTAATCCAGGTCAAGGTTTGATGTATGCTGCAGATTCTGAGTTGTGTCTCAATGCTTTCTCGGATGCGGACTGGGGACGTTGCAGTGATACTAGGAGGTCTATTACTGGTTTCTGCATCTATCTAGGTACATCTCTGATCTCATGGAAATCTAAGAAGCAGGGAGTAGCTAGCAGAAGTAGTACTGAATCGGAATATAGAAGTATGGCACAAGCAACATGTGAAATCATTTGGCTGCAACAACTTCTCCGAGACTTACATATCAAAGTTACTTGTCCTGCAAAATTGTTTTGTGACAATAAGTCTGCTCTACACATTGCTAACAATCCGGTTTTTCACGAGAGAACCAAGCATATAGAGATAGATTGTCACACAGTTAGAGATCAGCTTAAGGCAGGGACTTTGAAGACAATGCATGTTGGTACAGACAATCAACATGCTGATCTCCTCACCAAACCATTACATCCAGGACCGTTCTATCACTTACTCTCAAAGATGTCATTGTCAAATCTTTATCTCCCCAACCAGACAATTGGAGAATAAAGATTTGAGGGGGGTATATTGAGATAATGAGGTGGTTAACTCCGGTTATCAAGAATCAATAGAGATCCGGTTATTGAGTATTGGTTAATGGTATAAATACAGAATACACTTCATGTATTTTGGTTAAGCTTTGTAAAACAGATTTTTGATAAACATTACATAAGTTTCATAAATAGTGCACGTAATATACATATTAATTTTGTATTTGCTCGAATGCTAGCTAAAGGTCTTAATTACGGTATTTTCATTTAAGCTGGGAGTTATTTTAATTTTATTGCATTTAAACAATAAACCATACAAAGGTTGAGAAAATTATATGTTTAACGATTTACAATATATATAAAAAAAAAAAAGGCATGGCCATAATCATCATTTTGAGAAATACAAAAATCATGCATGCATGGAGTATCCATATATGTTATATATCCAACCAAACCAGTAGTATCTACACATATGATCCAGTCATGCTGCTGGAGCATAATCATATATATCATCATCATCTTATATTCGTCGTCAATGCCCATATGAACGACAAGGTTTGAAAGCACCAACAAAAAAAATCTGGACCGATGTATATAAACACGAAGTCAAGAACACAACAAAAAGCTTAATCACTTACTTATTTTACTGTATTTAAAGCATTTGCAGATCTTGATCTTTTTTGTATAAAGAGACCATAGTTTTAAACAGTAGCTTTAGACCTCTGGAAATGTTGGATAGGCCATGATCTTCATCACCTTTTTTTACGTATGCAGCTTGGACGACGACGTATTCAAATTCTTGATCATTATCATTCGTGTCGCTTCCAACGCAAAACTCACAAATATTGTCACATATGCATGGAACAAATTCAGAGACACAATACATTGTTTTCTATGTAGAACAAAAAATTGAAAGATAAAGCAAATCAGAAACAAAAGGGGAGTAATATGCATTTTATGAGAGAATTGATATCTTTTATATACACCCTCAAGGCTCAAGTCAACCCTTCCACACCGTGTACAAATCGATTATCTATGAAAATATTTATGGAAAATAAAATAAATATTTGACCTAGCTAATTTTGACAGAGACGAACTGTGGTCAGAACAGCCTAGTGAACTGTGCTCATGTTGTTGTGTGTTTGGCAAAATAGATATATTACATGATCTTTTCTCACACGTAGGATTTTCTCAACACATATCATAGGATTTTCTCAACACACATCACACGTAGGAATTGCTCATGTTGTTGTCCATTTACGTTCCTTTTTAGTTACACATGCAAGGCATTTTCCTTTTCACTAATATTCTTTCCCAAGCACAACAAAGAAAAAACAAAACAAAAGGAGTCTTCTTGGTGAAAATCTAAAGTCTCTTTCCCTTTCCCTTAGTTTTTCAACACAATAAAGCTAGCTATCTCATTTCTTAGCTATTTTAATAAAGAATATTGAATCTTTCATGTTTTGAGATTACTTACAAGAGCAAGTTGTGACCGCATTTGGTGGTTAGGATTGCCTCTGTTGAATTTGAGAATTTCTCATGTTGTTGTGTATTTGGCACAATAGATGTTACATTTTTTTCAGCATGTAGTTTAAGATACAACTAATTAAAATATATGGAAATCACATAAACTCTTGTACGTGGTAATATCTATAAAACATATAGAGTTCTCCCATCTTCGCTTTTGTGTCGCAGAAACAGCGATGGCGACACAAAAAATGGTCTGTGTCTCTAACTAATCATCCCTTCACATCTCTTTGTTATATGTCGCTGCGATTCTTTTTCCGGTGAATTTGGAGACGCCACAAAAACCAACGACCACATCTCTTTGTTATACATAAGAGTCGGTCGCTAATTCTTGGTTATGAAATTAGTGAAGTATTGCTTTTACTTTTGTGTAGCCGTAACAACGACACAAAAACGAACTACCTTTTACACCATTGAGTTGCCACTACAAAATAATATTCTCATGAGATTAAAAGGCTTTCACTTTTACAATGTTCCTTCTTTGAAAAGAATATGTATGCCAATATATGTAGGCGAACATGTCATAATAAATCACATGTGTCATAGTGATTCGTAATATTTATTTCATTCCACAATTTTATCACTTATAATATAGTTCGAATTTATAGATATATAATTTTCTTATCCGTGTTTTTACTAATAAACCTTTCATAAATTTTTGGTAGCAAACTAACCTTTTGATTTGTGTTTATGTGATAATGCGGTAAGGAATCTCATCCTAATGTTTTCAGCAGCATCGAGTATATTCCGTCTGAATTTGATGGAGCCTTATTCAAGACTTTGTATAGTGGGTTTTTAGAAAATTAGACTTTTAAAACTAGACATCAATATAATTTTTTTTATTGAAATATATCTTACTATGCAGATGAGTATCACTATTTCTTTTAGATATCTCATTACACTATTCTAACCATTTCAATAAAAATTCTCTTTTTATGTATATCAGTTTATTGTAACAAGAATTTTTAAAATGGTTGATAAAAAAGATGGTATACAGTTTTTGTATATTGGCACCTTTATGAATTTTTATGTATATCGGTTTATTGTAATGTGACCTTCTATGTATGGCATTAAAATAATATACTTGAAGCATTAAGTGAAAACTAGAGGTACCTTTGAACTAATGCTATGCCTTTGCGGATGAATGTCTAGTGATACACTAATTTGTAGCTGTTTGAAAAGCAAACTGTCTTCTTATATTTGGTTCAATTCCGGTTTAGTGGTTTGAGGAACCTCGAAGCTTTAAACCAAATTGTGTTGAGATCGAAGAATTTTAGCGTGGTTGGAGAAAATCCCACTTCAAATGCCTTGTTATTATTAGGACGTAAAGGAGAGTTAAAACCATGAATTTAGAATGAGAAGATTATGGAATTATTAACATCAACCAGCCAATGTCGGAAAACAGTAAATAGAAGCAACAAATAGGCTTCATCTCTCTCTCTTTTTCTCTCACTTCTCTTTTTGTTATTGACCTTTTAACAAAACTTAGAACAATTCTACTTTCTACATTTGATGATAGCAAAATAATTATCATTTTCTCGAATATAAGAACAGAGTCCTCTGTTTTGTTCTTCATCTCACTAAAAGATTCTTAGCAATCTCTCTTCCTCCACGTTTTGCGCACTCATCTTTGGTACCAAGAAAAGATCTAAGTTATGTCGAAGCTAGACCTGGATGAGGCGAACTCAATGCATAAAGACATAGTTCATGGGCCTTTCTTGGTGGAAAACATGGTGTGCCAAAAAAACCACATGTTGACCTCAAAAGGTATTTTCTTAGGCAGTGACCCTCTCAAATACGCAATGCCACTAATGTTGCTGCAAATGGCCACCATTATCATCACCTCAAGGATTCTCTACCGCCTTCTCAAGCCCTTGAAGCAAGGCATGATCTCTGCCCAAGTCTTGGTAACAAGTTGTCTATTTCTTTTTTTCTTTTTCTGTAATTAGAATCCCAAAGGAAAACTTAGACTAATCTATGTAGTTTTGAGCTCTTTTCATTTCTCTCTATTATTGAACTTTACAAAATATTATCACGCAGGCTGGTATAATCCTGGGACCGTCTCTCCTTGGCCAAACCGATGGATACATGCAGATGTTCATCCCCATTAATGGAAAAATCACTATACAAACGCTCTCAAACCTTGGTTTCTTCATCCATCTCTTCCTACTCGGACTAAAAATCGATGCTAGCATCATTCGTAAAGCTGGTTCCAAAGCCATACTCATTGGTACAGCCTCCTACGCCTTCCCATTCTCCCTCGGTAACCTCACTGTCCTCTTCTTGAAAAACACATACAAGCTCCCACCAGATGTTGTCCATTGCATCAGCACAGTGATCTCCCTCAATGCAATGACTTCATTCCCGGTCACCACAACAGTCTTAGCCGAACTTAACATCCTTAACTCTGATCTTGGACGGTTAGCCACAAACTGCTCCATTGTTTGCGAGGCCTTTAGCTGGATTGTAGCACTCGTTTTCAGAATGTTCTTGCGGGATGGGACACTAGCTAGCGTTTGGTCTTTCATTTGGGTCTCTATTCTTATCTTCGTGATTTTCGTCGTCTGTAGACCGATCATCATTTGGCTAACAGAGAGAAGAAGTGTTTCTATCGATAAAACAGGTGAGATTCCATTCTTCCCAATCATAATGATCTTGTTGGCAGTAAGCTTGACTTCCGAAGTTCTTGGGGTCCATGCGGCGTTTGGAGCGTTCTGGCTTGGAGTATCTCTCCCAGATGGACCTCCATTAGGGACCGGGCTCTCGACAAAGCTTGATATGTTTGCAACTAGCCTTATGCTCCCTTGTTTCATCGCCATTAGTGGATTGCAGACCAATTTTTTTGTGCTTGGAGAGAGCCACGTGAAGATCATTGAGGCTGTTATACTCATCACCTATGGCTGCAAATTCGTCGGAACAGCAGCCGCTTCCGCTTATTGTAACATAAAAATTGGAGACGCATTTTCTTTGGCCCTATTGATGTGTTGCCAAGGAGTCATTGAGATTTACACATGCGTCATGTGGAGAGACGAAAAGGTATAATTGGAAACTTTTGTTCAGTATGTTCAAATTTTCTCTAAACATAAGGTATGTCCATGTACACATTTTCCAAAATTTTCATTAATCTCGCAGGTTCTAAACACTGAATGTTTCAATCTCCTTATCATCACGATCTTGCTTGTGACTGGCATTTCGCGGTTCCTCGTTGTTTGCCTCTACGACCCATCGAAGCGCTATAGAAGCAAGAGCAAGCGAACGATCCTCAATACTAGACAACGAAATCTTCAGTTCCGGCTCCTGCTTTGCGTCTACAACGTCGAAAACGTACCTTCCATGGTTAATCTTCTAGAAGCTTCTTACCCGAGTCGGTTCAGCCCGATCTCTGTCTTCACGCTACACCTCGTCGAGCTTAAAGGTAGAGCGCATGCTGTGCTCGTACCGCATCACCAGATGAACAAACTTGATCCCAACACTCTACAATCGACTCACATTGTCAACGGTTTCCAACGTTTCGAACAACATAACCAAGGAACCCTAATGGCTCAACATTTCACAGCTGCAGCTCCATTCTCTAGCATCAACGATGACATTTGCACTCTTGCCCTTGACAAGAAAGCAACGCTCATTGTCATCCCATTCCACAAACAGTACGCTATAGATGGTACGGTGGATCACGTAAACCCTGCAATACGTACCATAAACCTTAACGTTCTAGACAAGGCACCTTGCTCGGTTGGAATATTCATCGACCGAGGTGAGACAGAAGGCCGTCGTTCAGTCCTCATGAGCTACACGTGGCGAAACGTTGCAGTGATCTTCATCGAAGGCCGAGACGACGCAGAAGCCCTAGCGTTCTCCATGAGAATCGCTGAACACCCGGAAGTGAACGTCACGATGATACATTTCCGGCACAAGAACTCCCTCCACCAGAACCTCCCAGTAGATGAGGAATCTGAATACTCGGAGTCTCATTTGATAAACGATTTCAAGAGTTTCGCGATGAACAAACCAAAAGTCAGTTATAGAGAAGAGATAGTAAGAGATGGCGTGGAAACCACGCAAGTGATTAGCGGACTTGGAGACTCATACGATCTTGTGATTGTGGGTCGTGACCATGACCTTGAATCGTCCGTACTGTATGGGCTTACAGATTGGAGTGAGTGCCCTGAGCTAGGTGTCATCGGAGACATGTTTGCGTCGTCGGATTTTCATTTTTCAGTACTAGTGATTCATCAGCAAGAAGGAGAGTCCTTAGCAATGGACAATAGCTATAAATTGCCAGTTTCACCTCCTAGGGCTGGGGATCCAAGAGTTCACCCACGTTTCTCTGTTGAAGAAGGGTTTTCTTCGGTTGATCTTCACAACAACCGTTAATTAATTATTGTAGTCCCTTTTTTTGTTTTTCTACTATTTTTTTCAATTTCAACATAAATAAAAGATGTAGGTTTTAGTGTTTGTTTATTAAAATAACTACAATTTTGTTTAAATAAGCGACTAAACTAATCCACTGCAATCAAAGAAAAATAAAAATATTCTATTATGTGAAAAGTCGTACGTATATGTAAAATATTTCCGCGCTATAGCACGGTTCTGATTCTAGTTAAAATATAAAAAAAGTACAAAATCATTGTTTTACAAAAATATGATACTTTAACAAAAGCAAAAAAAAAAGATTAGGATGCACTCCACTCATGCTGCTGGAGCATAATCATAGATAACATCATCATCATCGTCACCGTTTTCTAAAATCCCAGCTTGAGCATACTCAAATACTTGATCATTTTTAGTGATGTCACGTCCAATGCATGTTTCATAGACATTGTCATACATGCACAAAACAGATTTTGAGACATACATGATAGTGTTTTTCTTTTTCTTTTTTTTCTTTTTCGTTCAAGAGCCAATCCAACACACAAAAATTGGATTTGATGATTTTGATGAAAGGAGCGAGAGATCATTGGGCTATTTATAGGTAAAGTGAAAGTTGAAATAAAAGAGCCAATGTTCAGACTCGTTTTCGTTCTCTACTGACCTCAGCTAGGAGTGTGACATGATTGTATAAATTGTCGAATGGCACAATATAAACTCAGGCAATTCTCATCGATAGCATGAAAATAAGTTTTGTTTCCAAATTTAGCACATGCTCCACAAAGTTCCCAAAATAACACTATATTTCATGATTAAACTTTCTTAATTAAATTTTAAACTCTAAACATTAAATGCTACTTCCTAAAAATTATACCCTAAATGTAAAATAATCAACCCAAATATTAGAAAAAAAAAACAATAATTCTAAAAAATAATTTAAAATATTGTAATTATGCTAATTAGTGCTATTTTTGGAAATTTATGGAGTATGTGTTATAATTGTCCAAAATACTTAGTTTAGTGCTATTTGAGGGTATTTCTCTAGAAAATATAAGTTGTGATGTTTCTGATACTCTCTACTGATGATCTTAGTATATATAATATATTAAACGTTTTACCATCAAAACCACATAAATACATTTTCTCGTAAAAACGTAAACCACAGTTTCTTGCCAAAAACGTAAAATCATGTTTTCCCTCCAAAATCACAAAATCATGTTTCCCGCCAAATCGTGTTTTCCCGTTAAAATCACAGAATCACGTTTTCCGCCCAAAATCACGTTTTCCTGCAAAAACTGCAAAATATTTTAAATCTTATAAAAATATATATCAAGAAAATGGAAATTTAAAGAAGTCAAAAATTGTAATTTGTAAAAAAAACTTTATGTGTATATATATATTTTAGATCAATAATTAATAGTATTATGATAATTAACATTAACGTGAAAGAAATAATTATATAAAACATGGGTATTTTAGTCCTTTTTGATGGGGGAAATTCACAAATACCCATTTTCAAATACCACTTTATAAAAATAATCTCTCTTTTAAATTTCATCAAAAAGCCCTAAAAATTTGAAATTTATCCAAACATGTGTTTTAACTTATATAATTTTACACAAGTTACATTTATATATGTACAAAGTTATAATATATAATATATATATATATTATAAATACCGTATAAATAACTTTAAAAACTATTTAAAAACTTTATAAATCTTATAAACCTTTTCAACTCGTTTAGTACCTTTAAAAACCTTATAGATATTTTGATCGAGTCTATATTTTCAAGAGGTAGTTATTATCTAGAAGTAACTTATAAACCATATAAAACTTTATAATTTCCAAATTTAGAAAGGATTACTTTTGAAAATGTATAAAATAAGTATTTTTGAAAAGAATACACCAAAAGGAACATTTCTCAAAAAATATATTTTTAAATCAAATTTAATCATTTAAATGTAAATGAACAAATAAACACATCGCCATCATTCAGATAAATCATTTTTTGTTTGTTCGTTTGGTGTTTTAACATCTAGGTACATCATTTGAATGGATGATCTGAATAGATCATTTCGATGTTGATTAAAGATTGGAGAAACGAACATGGCTAGATTAACTCCAAACAAAATTTAAATTAACTACATTGACTAAGTTTGATGTTAGTCAACGGTTAGAAAATGCTGACAATGCATAATGGAATCTGATTTGGCATCATATGTTTCTCCACTTAAAACGACTAAAATATATCTGTTAGAACCGGAAAATAAATTTTTACCATTTATATTTTTACCTTTGATATTTTTTTTTGCAATTTACGCACATATAATATTAATATATTCACTATATGGATTATTGATTAACAGAGGTAACAATACACACTAATATAAAACTTAATAAAAAAGGTTAAGGAATAAATGATTCAGATTGTAAAAAATATCATATTTTTTTGTTGGATATATGATCTATCCATATAGACTACATATGATGAGTTGAAGAAACCTTACAGTCTACACAAAAAGAATCAATATATGATGAATACATATAGACTACATACAGTCTACACAAAAAAAGTCAATATATGATGTACACATATATAGATTACATATGTTAAGAGTATTGAAATAACAGTAATAATTTTATGGATAGATTGAAAAATTTTGAATATTTTTATCTAAAAAAATTATCATATTAGATCATGAAAGTTTAAGAAAAAAAAAATCCTTTTGTTACTTAAATTCAATTAAATTTTATAAAACTATATATTATTTTGCAGATAAGTATCAAATAGTTTTTAGATAGCTATTTACATCATCATTACCACTGCAATAGAATATATTTTTCTATGTATATCGCTTTAATGTAATAAATTAAATTGGTAAATAAAAGATGGTATACAAATTCAGTACAGAATTGTGTGACAACTATAACAATATAAAATAATACATTTGAAGCCTTAAACTAATGCTGCAGTCCCACTGTAATTTATAGTTTTGGTCATTATAAATGGTGCCTATAATATTTCTTATTCATTATTTTCATATATTTAGAAAATGTAATATTCAAACCATAAAATTATTACATATAAGTGTTTTTATGTTCAATTTTCCGTTATTTACCATTAACATTGTTATATGTCACTTTTCTCATTCCCATTGTTCCTTCCTTACCACTACAAATATCTTAGGTTTTCCATAAATAAATGCTTTTATGTTTGGATTTCGAGTTCTTCGATATTAGAAGATTATATGGATATGATGTTCTACATGATGAATTCGACTCCAACATCTAAACTAGTACGTAAACTATCATTGATATTTTGTTTTCTTTTTGGTTATTTGATGTAATTTAATATTTTTTTAAAGATTGATTGAGTACTGGTAAAATTTAAGTTGATAATTTAAATGACATTTACTAATTTCATTTACAGTTCACCAACTTTGGTTATTTTATGTATTTTTAACACTCAGAGAAATCTTTCTTTTATCTAGATTCATCCGTTTTTAAGGAATCAATTATGAATTTGCCATTTTTTTGACAAAGTTTTTTATTTTGCCATTTTGGTAAAATCTTATGGATTTGCTATTTTTCAGGTTAGAAAAATGTGACTAAACAAGCGTTTTATTCGTTATGTTTGGATTTAGTCGGTTCTAATTTTCTTTAGGGTTTAGTATTTACTATAAAGTACGTTTTTAGCAAAAAGTCAAAAAATCAAAAAATGAACATTTTTAAAAGTACAAAATGGCAAATCAAATAAGATTTTAACAAAAATAGCAAATTCGTAAAGTTTGCCATAGAAAATGGCAAATCTATAAGAGCCCTGTTTTTAATACTAACATTCGGATTCAGATTTGGTTTTGGATATATCCATTCAGTTCCAAGTACCTAAACTAGTATAATATATATTTTTAATGTTAAAATTTGATAAAATTTGGACAAATATATCTACAAACTTGGGTATATATATTTTTAAATGTTCAACATTTTTTTTAATCTAAAAATATATAATATTTACGTACATATAATTGTAATTTTGAGCATTAAGTTATATCAAATATAAATATACTTAATATTTTAGATATATAATCATATTTTGGTTTCTAGGTACCCATTCGATTTTCGGTTAAGTGCGGCTCGGTTCCACTTCCAATTATCGAACTGGTTTTGGTTAGATACTTTTGGTTTAGATATTTTGACCAAGACTATTCTAAAACATTACATTTAGATATGGCTAGGTGGAAAGCAAATAAATTAAAGTTTGGGGTAAAAAGTAACGGCCAAAGAAAGGAGTTGGGTTCTAGATATAATTATTACTTCGTGAGAGCATGTGAATGAAATAATGGTGGTCATAGATTTAGAGCTTTAAAATAATAGTGTTATCTTTGATGCCAAAAGAAAAAGAAAAAGAGATATATGCAGAATCTTGAAAACATTGAAGAAGAAAGCCATTGACAAACTTACACAAAAAGCTTCTTCAAGGAATCTAGTTTACAATACAAAGATCTTAAGGTATGTTTCTATGAGTTATTGAAGAAGGTCTCTTGATAAGTTTCTTCATTTGATACGTATTTTATTGGTGGGTAATTAAGAAACATAACAAAGTGTAAACACACAAAAGATTAGATATGATCATCTTTGCGTATCATGATAACGTTAGTTTGGTGTCATGTCTTTTAGTTTCTCTATCACCATCATCTACTTTGCTTCAAGTAAGATATGATTCAACACAATCCACTTTTACTTATTTGAGATGAATTCGTAATAGTGTCTTAATCTCATGCTGCCTAATTAGGATGATTTTGTACTTTTAGAATCTAATCTTGGCCAATGGTCATAAATCTTTCTTTAATTGTACATCAGGATACAGTAAAAAGGTATTAAAACGATAGTGGTATTGCGTGCATTGAAAACAACCCAAGTGATGTTAGATAAACTGTCATTTTGCAGCTCATGAGTATTGTCTATATAACCTAAACCCCAATAATTATCTTTTCATTTCAACTCATTTCACTGATTTGAATTTGTTTTGGAAACATTTGATCGCAGAGAGAGTCAGATTTTTGCAGCTGAGGATGGTGTTCTGCTCCGACGACGTGGCCACAGGGGTGAGAGATGCTTTCACTTATTGTTACAGATGCAAAGGTAGAAAAGTTACTTTTTCCGATCACGAAGACGATGATGATAACAAGCATACCGAGGATTTTAACTACGACCATGAAGTAACTAGAAAACTAATTCCTTTGCCTTTTGGTTTCATTTTGGTTTCTTCTATTACTCTTCTTCATTGACAATACTGAGCTGTGATCGTGTTGCTTCTCAGGTGGTTGTTTTCGAGATCAGAAGTCGGGCAATGGAGAAGTTAAGGAAGAAGTCAAGGACAGGAATGGAGAGACTAACTTACCAACCAACAAAGGAATGCGACATCGAAAAGGACGACGGTAACGAGTTTTGTTCGGTGAGAAGCAGTTTTTCGGAATGTTGTATGAGTGATCTAGACATAGAAGATTATATGACGGCGAAAACCGAGTTCTCGAAAAATTCAAGCTTCAAAGGTTTAGAGCTGGAGAATCAATGGAAGATGCATTATGTTAATGAGATTAGGAAAGGATCAGTGATTCAAGAGTTATGTCATTGCCAAGGATGGCCATTTGGTTTGGGACGTAAAGCTGCGATGCTTCCACCGCTTCCAAAGTCACCTGCAGAGTCATGGTCTTGGAGGAAGCCAACAAGAGTTACTCCAGTTCCATTAGTTTAACAAAAGGCGGTTCGAAATGTTGAATCATTAAAACAAAAAGATCTCTCATTTAAGGAAACAGTAACAAAATGAACACAAAAGCCTGTTAAAATCGTTGGAGCTGTGAGTTTATTTTTCGATTGATGTTAAGCTCTAAATTTGAAAGCTTCGTTTGGAGGAAACAATGAACAAACTCACCTTATATGTCTTTTGGTCAGATTGACCTTTATTATGTGCTAAGACACAATAACGCAATAACAACATAACAAGTTTTGCTCGTATTTAAGATCTTGTCTTTCAGTTTTATGCCCTTTGCTCCACGTAAGATCCTGAGAGTCCTGAAGTTCCAAGAACGGTGACCTACAGAAGAAACAAAATCAATGTTTAGCCTTAATATAAACATACGTGCCTGACGATGCCATATAATAATTCAAATCATGAAGTTGGACAAGCCTAGATTATGCATGAAGGTTGGTAAAGCAAGTATGCAAAATTACGCAACTCAGAATAGGGAAGGCAAGTTAAAATTGTCCATAATTACGCAACTATTACTTGAATCAGGTTGTTCTAGCTTAGCTTATATGTTGCTATCATAGATGCACATTGCAACTTATATATCAGAGGACAAGTTCTAAGAGTATAGGTTCCTATAATCACGTGAAATAATCTAATTTATTACCTTTCCCCATACAGAACCTGGATAATGCATGAAGGTTGAGAAAAACGATCACATATAGCATAAGTGAGAATGTGCAGGACAAGTTGAACTTTTCAATAATAATGCAAACTCAAAATTCAATCAGGCTGTTCTGCTTATATCTAGCTGTCAGTGATGCACGTCACAAGTTATATCATCATATGAGAAGAAGTTTTACGAGTATATGCTCCTAGAATAAAGTTGAATGATCTAACTTTATTACCTTTCCCCATTCTGAACCAAGCCCGCTACATCTCATCTTCAAGTGGATCATCTTTGTCCCCAACTCCATCTCAACTTTCTTCTTCAAGTAAACTTCTTCAGGTTCAAAGGAATCTAGATAGTCAGCATATCTCTGATAAGCAGTACGCAACGCTTCGGTAATATCACTTGGTAAGGCCTTCACACCCTGCACACAAAAATACAAATACCTGAACATCAAACAATCTGAAATGAAAGATAAACGCTATAGTTCGATGAGGCAACAAAAACAAACCTCGCCACTCATTCCAATGCTATCATCGATTTCCATCTTCAAAGAAGTGAGAATCCCACCGAATTCCTCCACAGCTTCCGCTGCTCGGAACACGTTTTTCAAAGCCTCTTGCCCTGCCTTGTCATCAGTGTTTTTCGATATCGCGTTTTTGGCATCCCCAACAACAGAAGAAGGAAGCTGTGCCCAATCTGCAGCCATCAAGTCTTTGAATGCATTCAGAACATCAGAGTCTTCCATTTTAGGCATGTGAGATACATCTTCGCTAAAATTTCGCACTTGTCCAATATCCATTGCACGAGGATACCGCAAATCTGCATATTTCACAATCAAGCACTTCAATTATAAAAGTAAAAACTCGAGTAGAGCTCAAAGTCATCACACAATGACCAAATCAATCTAGCAATCCTAATCCTCGAATCGAAGAACACCTAATCAATTTCTTCGTGGATCCTTGTAGAGATCAATACAGTGGAAAAATCTGGGAAGCTAAGATTCCACAAATAATAATCTCATTCATCGGAAGAGATTAGAGAAAACGAATTGGAATCACTAACCAAAAGGAGTTCGATTGGAAGGAGAAGAAGAAGAAACAGCGAAGAATCCTCTCGTGGCGAGGAAACGATTGCGCAACAGATGGTTAGTGGTGGCCGATCTCGAAGATCGGAGAGTAGCGACGGAGGCCGCCGTAGCGGCTCGGTAAAGGGATCTCAGAAGCACCATCGTAGATGTAATCGGAAGTTGGTGTTTTTCGTTTTTTCTCTATCTGAATGCGAAAGCTCTTTGAACTTTCCGATGATGGTGATTGGTGACAAACGTTTTGGACTGTAGGAGATGGTGGGCTTATAAATCTCAGAGATTAATTATTAGGCCCATTAAAGCCCATTTAAAGAATACTTTTTTTTTGTCAACACCTTCTTTTCATTTTCAGAAGCTAACATTAATACAATTTGTCCACTCTATTAACATTAATACTATTTTTATGGTGATATCTGTTTTAATTATTCAAGTTCTAGAGAAAAAATGAGTTCAATCATTTTGGTCTATACTAAATTTATGTTTTGGATGTAATAGATTTTGTAGTTTTGTACTTTAAAATTTTTACTATTTGAAAGAAAAAAAAAATTCTTTGGACAAAAAGTAAAAAGATTATGGATGAATTCATTTATAGACATAAAATAAACACAAATTTAAATGTATGATTTGTGATCGTAATTGTTGCATTCTAACAACATATAAGGCTATTTGTATTTAGTTATCTTTTTAAGATTTTTTTTTTTTTTTTTTACTTTTATTTGTATAGTCATAACATTGAAACCTGATGTGTTAAAAACTTTTTTTTTGTCATCTAATAAACTAAACAAATTGACTAAGTGAGACAATCCAAAGGACGTGTTAAACAAGATTAAACAAGAAAAACAGTAAATAAAATTGGATTGATAATTCAAATATCAATTTATATCATTAGTGATGTTAATTATATTTTTTTCTTTGTTGCAATGACATGCATCTATACTATTAAAACTGAAGTACTCATTAGATTTACACCAAAGTATTCAATTGAAATAAAATTAGATACTTAAATTTTGGATCTTTAATTGGGTATGGATAATATATTGGATATTTCTCCAGCATATATCATTTCCATATTTAATATTGATTTTCTTAAAATATATCATTTCCATATTTAATATTGATTTTCTTAAAATATATCTACCTAATTTAATCTAATCTATCCAAAATCTCCTTTCATCTTTATATGATCTTATTTATATTTTATTTTATTTTATTACATAAAACATATGTAAAATAAAAATAGAATTATTTTTCCGCATATGTTGCAATTTGATTTTTTTAAATACCATATATTACTCAATCAACGCAACGTTCTACATTGGCTATAAAATTTTAGACAACGGTTCATAACCATTATATATAGAGAATTTAATGAAAAAACCTTCAACATTGGCCGATCCATTTTTAAACCCTCAACTATTTTTTTAGTAATTAAAATTTTAAACTAAGAAAATTAAAAAATTTAACCTTCTGTCTATAAAACTTTTATACCCTTAACAGTTTCGTCCACTCTAGCCGAACATTAAAAAAAACTTTAGGTATTTTAAAAAATGTAATTTTTGTAATTATATTTTTCTTCTATTAAAGGTATTTTCTTCTATGTCACAATAACATACAAACATAATATGCCTGTTAAATTTAAAAAAAAAACATGTATGTAATATTTATAAACCCAAACCCGATTATGAACATGATTATTTTTTCGTGTCATAAGATCATACGTTAACAGGGTTGGACCCCAATTAGTTGACTAAATTTTTTATATATTTTATATAAATTATGTAGTTTTCTAAATAGAAAAATAAAAAAACGTCATCCGTGCGGTAACACATGTTATCCCCTAGTTGTAATTTTGACTATATATGTTAGGTGAGCTAGGTTACTTTTACAACTCTACTTCCACGTTAACCATTAGTAGGATGATAGTGTTGTAGATGGTAGCATCACGAATTGACCCATCACCCTTCATTATTATGAGAAAATCTACCGATATTGATGGTCAAGCATGTAAATTGCTTTTATTAGGGATCCTCAAATCTAGTGTTGGGCTATAACGCCTATGAAAACGTCAGTAGTGTAACTTCGATCAATGCATGTTCTTTGGATTTTTCTTATCCCTATTCAAAGTTTCCAGATCTGATACGTTACCAATCAGACAGTGTTGTATATTATATAGTTTTAATATGGTTGGTGACAATCATTTAATCTTTTTAGTCAAAAAGACAAAACACGTTGATCACTCAAGTCCACCTAATCAAAAGCTTTTATATTGTCTCTCTCTCTCTCTCACTTTCTCACCACTTCTATTTGTCTTACCAAACATATATACATCAAAGCTTAAGACTCTTCTCTTGTTCTCTCCAATGGAATCAAAGAAGAAGCAAGTCCCGTTTGAGTTACTTCCATGGTTAGTTGTTCATAGCGATGGGAAGTTAGAGAGACTAGGTGGAACTGAAGTTTGTCCTCCCGGTTTAGATCAAGAAACTGGTGTTTTGTCTAAAGATATCATCATTGATTCCATAACCGGTTTATCTGCTCGAATCTATCGACCTGAGTCGGTTCAACCCGGTCAGAAGCTTCCTCTTGTGCTTTATTTCCATGGTGGTGCGTTTCTCATCGCTTCTGCTTCGTTTCCTTGTTACCATACAAGTGTTAACAAACTCGTCGCTGAAGCTAATGTCATCGCTGTCTCTGTCAGTTACAGGTAATCAATCCGGTTTATGTTTACTTGTTTATCCAAATTTTACGGTTTGGTCGGTTTGGTCGGTTTGATGTCGAACCCAAAACGTTATTCCGGTTAGATTTGTTTAAAATTGATAATTAGGTCAGGCAAGAGGGTTCAGTATTTGGTTCGGTTTATTCGGTTGCATGTGGATAATTTAGAAACAAAAATGATCTATTAACCGAAATAAGTTCGGTTCGAATTTTTTATACTAGTCATATTTTGGTTCGGTTTAGATTTTTAAGTTTGGTTTGATTTGTTTATAATACTCAAATTTTGGCTCAGTTTGGATTTTTGATCAGTTCGGTTCGACTTGTTTATTATAGTCAAATTTTGGTTCGGTTTGGATTTTTGCTACGGTAATTTTGGATGATTTGGTTTTTATGTATTTATGGTTGATTTTGGGTTTAAGATAGTTTCGGTTTATTCGGTTACATTTGGTAATTTTAGTCGATTTGGTCAAAAAGTTCTGGTTAATTTTTGGTTCAGTTTCGACAAAATTTCATAACATTTAGAATATTCATATTTCTCTAACGTGAAAACAAAAGTCAAAATAAAATTTGTAACTCACGATGACTTCATCAATTGTTTTTATTATCTTTTTTTTTTAAAAACTAATTTGGACAGACTAGCACCAGAACATCCACTTCCTATAGCGTACGAAGACTCATGGACCGCGTTAAAGACAATTCAAACCATGAACGAGCCGTGGATCAATGACTATGCCGACTTCAACCGTTTATTCCTAATCGGCGACAGCGCGGGAGCTAATATCTCGCACCACCTCGCATTCCGAGCCAAACAATCCGATGAGACCGCGAAAATCAAAGGCATTGGAATGATCAATCCATATTTTTGGGGGACACAACCTATTGAATCAGAGATCAATGACAAAGGGAGGAAACAAATGGTGGACGGATGGTGGGATTTCGTGTGTACATCCGAGAAAGGATCCGATGACCCGTGGATCAACCCGTTTACGGATGAATCCCCGGGTCTTGAAGGATTAGGGTGTGAGAGAGTGATGATTGTTGTGGCAGAGAAAGATATATTGAAGGAGAGAGGGAAGTTGTATTATGAAACATTGGTGAAGAGTGAATGGAGAGGTAAGGTTGAGATGATGGAGACAAAAGGGAAAGATCATGTTTTTCATATCTTCGAACCTGATTGTGATGAAGCTACGGAGTTGGTACGACGCTTGGCTCTCTTTATAAACCAATTGGTAGCTTAACACTATTAGTTATGAGGTTTGTATAATCTTTACATCTTTGTTAATGTTGTATTTGGGAACCTTTTTAATGCAATTTATGCTGTATTTACAAGATAAATTAAATTGAACCTTTCATTTTTCTCATGATAAGAAAACAATGTGAATTATTCCTTTACTAGTCATAGACTTCATAGGACATAGTCATATATGTATTTTTATTTTATCTTCCTAACCAACAAAGCCCAGCCCATTAAAGAAGCTTCTAAATAGAGAACACTTTACAATGGCTTGCTAAATAAAAATATTAAACAGTTACAGTTGAATGACTCTAATGATATGTTAAATTATTTGTTGAAAATGAGGTGTGTGTGTGTATTGAATCACGTTACAGTAAAACCTCTATAAATTAATACTGGATAAATTAATAATCTCTATGAATTAATAATTTTTTCAGTCCCAAGTTGGGCTAGTATATATTGAGGCACATTTCTATTAAATCAATAAGATAATAATTTTTTGAAAACATTTTGTAAATACCGTATATGGTCCTAATAATATTATAAATTAATAAATATATATAACTATACTATATCTCTATATACATGAAATTAATTTAGTACAATATGACTATTGCGTTTTTACTTACTCCTAAATTTCCTTAATTTTGTTAAAATTCATTTTTAATATATTTCCTGTATTGAAATTTACAGTTTTTTATTCAATGTATGATGATTTTTTTTTCTTGTAACTGGTTCTAAAAAAACTATTAATTATGATGATTAATCTTATTTTTATTGTACTATTACTATGTAATTTAAAAAGGGGTATTACCATTCTATGGACATAAAAGATCAATAAATTAACTAAATAATCATAGTCTTTGTTTATACCCCCATTGAGGATGCCCTAATAGCCTTATAAGGGTTAACAAATCTTTTAGCAATATAACAAAATAGATATCGATAAATTATATGTTTGTTTTTTTACTTTAATGGTATAATTTAACATGATAACAAATGGTTTAACATGATAATGATAAGTTTACCATATAAATTGTAGTGTAACATGTTACAATATGATTCAATATGTTGTGTAATATTTATGAGTCTTCAATTTTTTTGTTCATTATTGTTATTGTTATTGTTATCTTTACCATATTGTCTAACCCAATTTTGATAGAGTAGTTATATTTTTTTCTTATTATAATTAGCGGTATATAATCTTATTTAACACGTTATTCCTATTGTTGATATTCATTATTATATAGTAGGGTTTAGCATAAAACTCATAATGTTTTTTATGTGAAATAGTAAATAAACTAACACGGTAAATATAAATTTATCACATAAATCATAACTTATCGCGATACAATATAGTTTAACATGATATATTTATTAAGTTATTAATATATATATATATATATATATATATATTGTTATCATGGTATTCAATAGTTATTCATCCAACTTATCACATATTTTTACTTATATATTTGATGAATAATATTGTCGATACTTATTTCATTATCTCGATAAATCATTTGTTAGATATGGAAAGATATTTTTGTCATTATAAAAATGAGGAAAGAGAACTAATTAATAAAAGAGATGCTAGATTCTTAATTTTTTATTTATCTTGGTATATACTTTTAAATCACCCTTTTAAAAATATACGATCCATAATATATTATTCTAACTATAATACTTGATATTGAAAATGAGAAAATGTCACTACTCAACTATCTTGGGGAATTGGTTTCCTATATATCTGGTGGGATTACGAGAACATAAGTTCCTGGATTAATGATCTTGCTAGGATAAATTTGTTTACGTAGAAAATGCACATGAAATGTACTTTTTTGAACCTCTTAAGTTAGACATAAATGTTGTTAAGGATCGACTCGCTACTGGAAATAGATTTCTTTAATCCTAGTTAATCAAAAATTCAATTTGCATTTTAATCATTGTCGATTATCTTCCTTTTAAGTTATACATACGACAATGAATTAGTTTTGTATGATTTGTTTTAATGTATATGCGGTTAGGACCAAAATCATTACCGACCGCACCTTTTTTGTGTTCACATAGTACTATAGAAGTAATAATTATTAATCAAAACTAAATTAAATTAGCATGACCAAAATAGTTTTTGTATCCTTAATTGATTATTTTGCTTTGCAAGTAATGAAGAAAAACACATAAAGTTTATAATACGTTGAAATAAAATATAATAGACTAATAAATACATTATAACCTAGCTTAATTAGTACAATAGAATAGTTAAAAAAGATAACTGGTAGAAATTTTGTATTAAAAGTTATTCTTGCTATCATTTACACTATAAGTGTCCCGAATAAATGAATATCATATAGTTAAAACTAAATTTAGAATAGTTAAACCTAAATTTATAGTTTTACTATATAATTATTCAAAAAGCTTAACTTAGCCACATATCGCATGATTGCATCAAAAAATTGATAGTCAAATTCAATAACTATTACTAAGTTCGGACCCGCGCTACAGCGCGGAGGAAATATTTACGTATATATATAATCTTTAACGGATTAGAATATGTTATTTTTTAATTTTATTGCAGTATAGTCGATAAGGGTGAATCATATATTTGTGTAATAATTTTAAGTAAAATAGAAAAAGCTAGTTAATAATAATATATTGAATTTTGATACAATAAAAAACGGTGAAAATTTAACCGTACAAAAGAATATTTATCGATAAATTATTCAATTTGAGTATTTTGTAGTAGAAGTAGGAATATACGTAAAAATTACATACTTACAATATATTTCTTTGAATGACCAACCCATAACAGAATTCATTTCGTTAAAAAATTATTCATAACTCACTCTACCATTATAATTGTGAGTTTAACAAACTAACCTGTGAACTACCTAAAATATATAATATATTTTATCAATAAAAATTATGTCTCCAAAAAAAATTATTTTTAATATTTTAAACTCTAAATTTTTTTTATATATTTTAATCTTTTCATTATAATATTTTGAAACTTGTAAAATTTTAAATATGCTCATATAACAATGGTTATAATATTGGTCATACTTATAATATATGTACCCAAACCCAATTTAATATCCGGTTTTGAAGCATCCAATTGTTAAAATCGGGTCAATTTTATTAATTTTGACCCTACCCGTATTCTATTTTATACATCTCTTTTACTAATATAGAGATAGGGATAGTCATTATTAAATCAGATAAAGTTTATAAAATAACTGACTTCAAATACATGGTATAATCCAATAACAATGACTATCCCTATTTTTGGTACAGGAAAATCTATTAAAAAGAATATAGGTCCTAGTTTTATCTTTTAGCTTTTTACAAAAAAGGGAAGGAAGTTAGAAAATAAATATTACCGTCCTACTATTAGCTTTTTAATATTATGATAATGTGTTTATTAGAAAGTCTATAATAACAAATCTTCGTATGAGTTATGATACACTCCCTCCATTCCTAAAAGATGATTTTTCTAGGAATAAAAGTTTGATTCAAAAAGATTATTTTTAAAGTTATAAATAAATAAATAATTAGTATTTACAAATTAGTTCAAAATTTTAAAAACCGTGAATCACAAAAATTATGCAGTTATTGTTAAATTTTAGATGGTTTCTTAATATCTGTGTAAAATCTAGAAAAATAATCATTTAGGAACAGAGGGAGTATTGTGTTTTTATAGATTTTTAAGTCATTGATTTCTCTTTTTAGTTTAAAACTTTCTTTGAATCAAAGTGTGTTCAGAGTTTTAGCCTTTTAATTATCGAGTCTTTTCAGGTTTTTGGTTGCTTTGGAATAAAACGAGTCGTTTAGGATGCAAACACACATTTGGAGATACAGATTCGTATAGAAGTGTCGGATATTTGGACTCATATAGAAAACTTCCCACCGCTTGATCTTTCTAATATATTCACACAAGATGGATAATGATGTTAGCTTTCATTTTCAAGTGTTTGTAAGAAAATTCAATGGTGCATTCACGAGGTATACCCAATTTTGTGATGACATATCATTCTGGCAATCAATTGAAGCAGTTGTAGAGGTTGAATCAGAGAGTGTCACATCAATCGGTCCACTTGGATACCGATCAGTCCAACTTCTCCCAATGAGACGAAAAATTTCAAAAGTTGTTGGATCGATGGTCCAACACATGGACCGATCCACCCCTTCCCCAGAGATAGTTTTTGGCTCATACTCGACCTGAAACACTCCAGATCAAACCCGTCTCGTCTTCTACTATCTTAAAACCTTATACTCGACTTTTTGGACACTAACTTATGGCCCAATCCCCAAATCAACCTATGACACTCAAACAAAGCATCATTTGGGTAAGCATCATTTTCAACTTACTAACACTGAACCTATGTGTGTAAGATAATTGGATTTATATGGCTCATTTTTGTACCAAGATACAAGGTTTGTAAGTTAAAAATGTTTGGGTTGACTTTCTTTAAAACCCCTCCTCCTAATCTAGAGAGTGTGCGGCAATATAAAGAGAATCATAATCTCTCTTCTATAAGCCTTATTATATGAGAAGATCTCCTTGCCTTTCAAATTCTTAGTATGCTTCCAAGAACTCACTAATTTGTTTCCCATACTTTTAAGATTACTTGATTCTGAACAGCTTCAAATCACTTTAAAATCTGTTCACCAATCTAAGAGAGTTTTGGAAAAGATAACAACATGATTTTAATGTTCTAAAATTTTTTATCTCTTTCCTTTCTAGAAACTTCTGTTTATCATATGAATCCTAAATAGGAGTGAGGTCTTTTATAAATCACATAAGAATTCAAACCTAGTTTACACGACAATGCCATAAATTATACGGAGTCCTTAACTAGCCCATATATTGACGTCGTTGTAACGCCCTGACCACCATCTTCTTTAATGAGTCTCACATTTTCTCTTCATATATGAACCCACCCTTATTCAACGGTCGGGATGCTATGTCTAAGAATCTTTAAAGACGTGGTTACCGATCCTACAAATCAATACAAACTCGGCAACCACTCTAAGAAATTTACCCATCTTAAAATAACTCCAGCATAAACACGCTTAACGGTAGAAGTCTCTCAAAATGGTTGAGTGAAAAGATAAGTGCACTTTAGGTGACATAGGTTGGTCCAATAAGTTTCTTAAAACCTCTCTATGTACGACAATTTTTTTTGGAAATCGGGGTATTACAATTCACCCCACTAACAAATTACAATGTTTTTGTTGCGCATTAAGACTGTAACTCCAAACGTTGTGAGCCCTTTTCGACTTTGATAGCTTTGTAACTCTCTGTTCGCCATTTTTTAACCCCAAACGTTATTGCATGTTTTTTTCAGCTTACTATATTTTGACATAGCCTTCTATATATATGTGTATATATATATATGTCACGCATCATATATTCATATGTGCACGCATTATTTCTCACAGTGATATGATATGCATAAAAACCGAATGGTATTTCCCATGCCATCTCATTTTTGCACATTCTCACTGTTCTCAAATTTTCAAAGTTCCTCATGTTTGCAAATCACTCAACTTGTTTGAGGTTTGATTTTGTGGTTCCCCGCATATCAATTCACTACATTCCTCCCGGTTTTGATGGACGGTGGAACTAATGTGTGGACGCTTTAAATATTTTTTTCCACCAAGAAAAAAGGAAAACAAAAACCTTGATAAAGCCAAAGTTGGTTTTTGTATATAATTACATAGTTGAATACGATAGATAACAAGATCAAATATAATTATAAAAAAGCAAAGCATAGGCCATGGTCTAGAGAACATAACATGTATAGTACTTTCGGGGACAAGCCATAGTGGAAGGTGATCCATCTTACGCATGAAAACTTCTGTTCCTCTTGATTTGAAAGTCTTGATATTTCTTGTTTAACATCAACCAACCCCCTTTTTTGTATTACATCATTCACTTTAATCGGTGCTTTCCCCTAAATATCTTAAGGAAAATGATAGATTAGTTATGGAAAAATAGTATGTATTTTGAGTTTTGAACGTTAGATCAATAATAGGAGAATTGGAGCTAATTTAGTAACATATAAGCGTATGAATTACCATACAATTTTAACCAAATGGTATAGACATTTCTGCATAGCATTATCCGATTGTCGAATCTGAATCGATCTACAGTTTGGGCAACCGAATTAGCCGAATAAACCGATACATTAAATTTTGGTTAAAATTAAAAATAATACGGAAAATAATACTTAATAAAACTAGATAATGAATTGTGGAAGCCTCCTTAATCCAGTTGTTATTACTTGTTAACTAAGGCCATGAATGTTTGCAAGTTTTTTGGTGGTTTTTGAATTATAGTTTTTGGTTTTTGGATTTTACTTTTTAGTTTATGGTTTTTAGTTTTCGTGTTAAAACTTTTTAAAAAAATGAAAAATAGAAAAAAAAATTAAGTCACGTTAAACAAATGAAAAACTCATAAATATGGATTTTAGATTTTATTTACAAATTGACAAAAACCATCAAAATCTAGATTCCCTATATTTTAGGAAAACCATTTTGCTCATAATCTTGATTGGCAATAAAGTAGATTTTCTTAAAAACTAAAACTAAAATCAAGTTCAAAATCTACAGCCATTCAAGGCCTAAGAGTTGATTAATGCATATCTACACCAACATGTCTGAGCTTAATTTAATAGGGTCGGAGAGGATTTTCTATGGAAGAATCGGCTTTGTAACAATTCTCATAATTTGTAATCATTAATGAATATATAGTTAAAAAAAGATAATTAGTTTTTTTTAATGTAAATTTATACAAAACTAGTGAACTCAACCTAACCGAAATATAATTTAGCTCTAGTTGGGATATATTTTCCATAACCGAAAATCTGAAATCTGAACCGAATGCATATGTCATGTCTATTCAAATCTTGTTATGATCTTCTCTTCTTTTTTTTTCCCCTATTGCCTCTCTAATGCATCTCCCTTGGCACCAATACGCATCTTAAGGCCAACAACTTTTCTATAACGATGATCTGACGGATCTTTACCCACATTGGTCGTGAAAAAATATGATCTAAATAAACACCAAACAAACTGAGCGTGTGAATGCATGGGCCATGTATATACAACACAGAGAGCACATACATGCAAAGTTGGAAACATATGGAAGTATGAATCACCTGGATTACATTATATACTCAGACATCATAAAAACATCATCATTTCTCTTTTTGAAGTAAAATCTTCCCCCACATTTAAAGTTTCATTTAATACATTATGCTAATGTTTGTAACCTAACTACTTCTTTATAAATACCCAATATTTCATTCTTCTTGTTTCCATATCTTCAATTCTCCTAACATATATATATTTTGTTTTGTTGTTTTCATTCTTCTCTTACTATCTCAATTTTGTCCCCTGACATATATAGGAATGTCGAATAAGTCAGTTTCTACATTTACCTTTTTCCTTGTTTTGCTTGTTTTGCATGGAGTTCATAATACAGAAGAGAGACATTTGAAAACTACTTCGTTAGAGATCGAGCCAGTTTATAAAGAGCCTGATCAGGCTAAGAGTCCTACCATTGTGGTCACATATACACGACGTAGAGTCCTTCGAAAGGCGGTCATCTCGCACCCTACTGACTTCAGGCCTACGAGTCCTGGAAACAGCCCAGGCGTAGGACATTCTCACGGGCGACACTGATTTGATCACATCATACTTCAAAGTCTACATCATCTATATATATATACTTTGTGTATGAATGTATCATTTTAAGACATTTCTTCTAATTTTATGATATGACATATATATGTATCATGTACGTATGTATCACATTGGCATTTCAATCTTAGTCGTGGTTTTGTTCCGCTGTCGCGTATTGTAAGTTTCTATAATGAATAAACGCTTTCAATAATACATATATAAATGGATTGTGGCGATGAGTTTCGAAAATTTTACTAGAAAGTATATTCAAATTATAGATTCTAGTGTTATATCATAGTTAAGAATGTTTAATAGATTCAGATTTTTTTCCTATCTTTTGCATATGTTATGAATCTTTCGTATATTTACACTCTTAAAGGAAAGAATAATGATATGTTCTTGTTTCATTAATTATTTCGGCTTCCCAACTCATTATGAAATTAGATAAATATGTTTTTTTTATAGATATGAATATAAGAAAGATTTGTTTTTTTTTTGGAAAAATCTAGTAGAGTTGTTTTTTTTTTTTTTAATCTAGTAGAGTTTTTCCAACCAATAACACCCTCTAAGAGGTTTTACTGTACTACATGTAGTAAAAAACAAACTCTAATATATTCATCAATTAAAACATATATTTATCTAATTTAATTTAATTCCTGACTAGCTTCTCACTTCGTCTTATCAGTTGGGAATGCATTTTGTTCCTTCCATAGATAATGAAAACACAGTTTGATGAGAACGTCTTTGTGAGAATCCCGAAACTGGTGTTTTTAAAGCTGCGAGTGTGAAACAATATTGATATTTAAATTTGTTTAAAGTTGTGATTTTAAAATTCTAACATTTGTTTAGTATTATTATATGTTTTGTATAATTAAATCTTAAGGTTATTATAGTTTAATATATATACAGTATAATGTTTCAGTAATCTGACCTGCTTAATTTTATTTTGTTATTGAAAGCCTAGCCCACAACGAACATGTTTTGTCATATTTATAAGTGTTATTTTTTTAAAATTAAAAATAAACCTAGCCCAATTTTTTTAACCTAATATAATTAATAATCAGTCATAAAATTAAATTAAGCAGAAAGAGAGATTTTTTTTTTAATCTCCTTTCAGGTTTTTATTTTTGTTGCACAACTCATGAGGACTACTCACGAGCAGCAGATATGTGTTGCAACGTTCTTTAAGTAAATTAAATGTTGGTTTTACAAGTAATTAAGTTGTATTGAATTTTTAATTATACTTAAAACTTAGTTTAGGAATTGCAAGAAAATTATAAGATCGTAAAGACACATCGACGCAACTCGATTGCAGATCAATTTTTGAATGATTGTTTAGTTTTTTTTTTTCTAAAAATGTGTTCAATACTATTACAAATGAGATTGTAATGAAAATATTTTAGGACATAAGGACAATAGAATGCTTTTATACATATTGCGCAGTTTTCTTAGACTATTTTAACCTGTGTAGATAAAATACATGAGTACGTCAGTGGCTGAAACTCTACACCATACTATAAAAGAGTGAGGACATGCAAAAAACAAGTGATCTCTGGTCTAGTCATTTATTTTGTATTATGCTAAAAGTTAAAAGTTAAAATACCAAATACAAAATTACTGGAAATGCATGTGTTCGGTTGTTTTTTTTTTTTTTGCACAACTAATATAACTATAGGTCTTTTCATAATCTATTTGATCTACATACTATAAAAAATTATACTCTTACACTATTTTCCAAGGATATTCAAATTAATTACATTAAAGATTTATTTTTGCTAATTAGTTAGCACATTAATTGAGGTACCTACATTGCACATAACATTTAAGTTAATTTTATTTATTGGTTTTAAATTATTTAATAGGTTAAGCAACATAATTATAAATATGGTAAATAATCTATATAAAGATTGCACTAAATAAGACCAAAATTTATAGATATTGTAAGAAAAAGTATTTATATAAAGATTTTTGCAAACTTAACATTTGAAAATGTGATACCAAAAGGGGTATTGTGAGTATGTTTTTGAAGAAATGATCAAATAAATGTATTTGGATTTTGGAGTTTAGCTTTTTTTATTTACAAAATGCTCATCAGTTTGATATATTACCTTTTGATACCTAAACAAACTTATAGAAGATTTTTGTTTGTTCGGTTTGAAGTTTTAAATCTCGATATAAAATTTTGTTTTCTTCTCTTACCTTTTTCAATGCTAAAATTCTTACTTTGAACCTCCAAATGTTGTTGTCCTTGTGCACTTGTCTTTTAAAATGAGTTAAAATTGTAAATTTTAAATTAGAAGACCAAAATAGAAGTTAAAATCATATTTAATATAATATACTTGAATTATTAATTTTTAGAGTAAAAAACAGAGCCAACTATTAAGAAGCCTCTTTTGTTCACCAAAAAATCAAGAAGCCTCTTTTACTCTATCTTGAAATAACTCTATTTTTAGGGGAAAAATAAATCCAAAAAATCCAAATTTCTTTTCAGAAAGTAAAGCTAAAAAAGAAATAGAACTAAGAAAATAATAAAGCATATAATATCAACAAAAAAATAATAATAAATAATAATAAGAAAAAGGGAAAGTACATCATGCGAGAGAATCTAATAACACAAACACTCATAATAGCAAAAACTAAACCAACCAACCAACGGTTAAGATCTATCTCTCTCCGTACAATCCAACGGTTTTCACAAAACTAGGTCAGAACTCAGAAACCGGAACTCCCATCAAAAACCCATAAACCCGACCCGTATCTGTGTTTGGTTAATGTTTTTCCCCACTTTAACCGGATAATTTGGACCCTAAACTTTGCCATTAATAGAACTCTCAAACACACACAACTCTCAAAACTTCCTCTGTTTGGTCCGAATCTAACCCTAATCTTAAAAAAAATCACATCACATCACATCACATAGCGCCGCAAATTAATGGCAGACGTCAAGATTCAATCTGAATCCTCGGATTCTCAGCCGCTTGCTGTCGACGACAACAACCCACCACCGCCACCGCAGCCTCAGCCTCCGGTTGAAGAAGAGGTTGTAGTAGAGAACCACCAACCAAAAGCATCTCTGACTCCACCGCCGCCACCGTATATGGCTATGAGATATCCACCAGCGGTTGTAATGCCTCACCATATGATGTACGCGCCGCCGCCTCCTTACTCACCTTATCATCAGTACCCGAATCAGCACCATCCTTATCAGTCTCGTGGTAATAACAATAAGTATCAGAACGCATCTAATGGTGAGAACAAAACCATTTGGGTTGGTGATTTGCATCATTGGATGGATGAGGCTTATCTCAATTCTTCTTTTGGATCCGCCGGCGAGGTTTGCTTCTCTCTCTTTATATATCATTCTCTCTCTTACATTATTACACAACATTTATGTATCTCTCTTTGATTAGCGTCTTTAGATTGTGCATTTAACAGTTTCTTGATTCTGTTCTCGTTGACTTTTAATGCTTTTGACCTTTAAAAAGATGCTCTTTTCAGAATCTATCATGTAAAGTTTGCTTTTTTTTTAATCTATGGAACTCACTGACTCTGTTTTTTTAATCTCTGTTTCTTGTGCAATTGATCTAAATGTGTGTACTTTATGTCTGGTACAGGTGCCGATTGTTTCTGTTAAGGTGATCCGTAACAAGCACACTGGTTTATCAGAAGGCTATGGGTTTGTGGAGTTTGAATCCCATGATGTAGCTGATAAGGTTTTGCAGAAGTTCAATGGAACGACTATGTTACGTACAGAGCAACCTTTCCGTTTGAACTGGGCTAGTTTTAGCACTGGTGAGAAGAGGTTGGAGAACAATGGACCTGATCTCTCTATCTTTGTGGGGGATTTGGCTCCGGATGTGTCTGATGCTTTGTTGCACGAGACGTTCTCTGAGAAGTACCCGTCTGTGAAAGCTGCTAAAGTTGTCATTGATGCTAATACCGGGAGATCGAAAGGCTATGGCTTTGTGAGGTTTGGTGATGAGAATGAAAGGACCAAAGCAATGACTGAGATGAATGGTGTTAAGTGTTCTAGTAGAGCTATGCGAATCGGTCCTGCTACCCCGAGGAAGACTACTGGTTATCAACAACAAGGTAAGTTCTTTCTGATTTAGGTAGTTCTATGAAGTTTTAAGCTTTTTGATTGATTGCTTCTTGTTAAATCTTGTCTAACCGGGTGGCTTATCGTTTTACGATAATGGAACCTTTATGGTCATCATTAGGTTCTTGATATTGCAGCAATATGTTTTGAGTCTAGTGTACTTAACTATTTGTTGGCTTTGGTAGGTGGATACATGCCGAATGGTCCCATGGCGCGTCCTGAAGGGGACACACTAAACACAACAGTAATTGTTTTTCTTTTTTTTGTAGCATCTTCTTGTTTTGTTATCTCCCTTTCATATGATTGTGACAAGAGAAGGTGAATCTTATTTTTGGTTATACGTCTTAATCCATGTTTTATAACATAGATATTTGTTGGAGGACTTGACTCTAGTGTCACTGATGAAGACCTAAGGCAACCTTTCGCTGAATATGGAGAAATTGTCTCTGTCAAGATTCCTGTTGGTAAAGGATGTGGGTTTGTTCAATTTGTTAGCAGGTAAGATACTAAGTGCCTATGTTGAATAGTTACCATGAATGAAGTAAGTATCTTATCGTTGTTCTGTCACCGTAAACGATTCGATATTCAACAATTGGTTGCAGACCAAGTGCAGAGGACGCTTTGGAGAAACTCAATGGGACTGTAATTGGAAAGCAAACAGTTCGGCTTTCTTGGGGACGTAATCCAGCTAATAAGCAGGTAAATTACACTATATGTCTACATAAGTGTCTAATCCTCCTGGTACAAGTGTACCAAAATGCACAATTTAGTTCAGTTTTTTCATTACAAGACCATAGAACAAGCCCAAAACTGTTCTTTATTACATTAAAGAAATATTTGTTTTGTGTTTAGAACCTAGTCTGAGATAAACTGACTTGATTGAATCATCCGAGCTTTATTGTTTATACTTCTTAGGACATTTGATTCATTTATTTACTTTTTTCTGTTTTTGAAAAACCTATTTGAAATGGTAAAACTTCATGGATGTTGATTAACAGTATATAGAGTTTAGCATCATTAAATTTTTTGATATGTATTCAACTCAAAAGATTCTTTTGATGAACTTCTGTTTATTTGGTGTGGTTGCACTTAGTTTTAGTTCAGTTCAGTTTGGTTTATAAGACTACTGTTACGGTTAAGCGTGAATTAAGTTTGGTTCGGTTTGGTTTTTACGCCCACCCTTCCTTGACTACTTTCCTGGTGTGATCTATACAATGCCTCTGATTAAAAGCATCTCTGATTGTAACAAGTTTTTTTGTTGTGTTGCAGCCAAGGGATAAGTATGGAAACCAATGGGTTGTACCATACTACGGAGGACAGTACTACAACGGGTATGGATACATGGCACCGCAGCCTCATGACCCGAGAATGTATCCCGCTGCACCTTACGGAGGGTATCCAATGTACGGTGGCCATCAGCAACAAGTTAGCTAAGGAAACTAAAAGCTTAATCTGATCATCTATCTGTAGGGCAAACAAAACAAAAACTCACTCAAGTTAGGTGATGTTAAGAGGTTCAAGGAGACAAAAAGTGGTTTGGCTTCTTGTCTCTCCTTGAGTTTAGGGCTTTTTATCTTTCTAGTGGAAAAACAAATTTTGGTGGAAACCATAGTAGTAATTTAGGGGACTTGGATTTGATTGATTAATTTGATTTGTTTCTTCAGAATGTTGGAACTTATTGATCAAAGAAGAAGTGAGTTGAACCGATTTGATTATTATATTTCCTTTGTTAATCATGTCATTAGTTTAACGCTGTCGAACAAATCTAAACACTTAGGTTTGTTTGGATATAATTATCGACAACAAGGTAATCACACTAATAACATCGGAAAGTGAGCTATTGAGCTTACATACTATACTACATCATCTAGGCTTTAACTTTTTAGGTCTCAAGGAAGCTAGTCCTCAACAACTTAAGCTATTTTTAAGGTCTTAGAATAGCTAAATTGAAAACTTTCTGTGGTAAAGTGGAAAAATATTTCGACAGTCTTTAGTATCAACAGCATAGTCTTACCACAATGTCGTCGGTTAATCACGGCCAATAAGTCAATAGTATGTATGGTACTTACTACCTATTTGAATGATATTAGACACAATGATGTTTGAATGTTTTGTACTTGTTCAAAATTCACAACTTAAAAACGCGCAAAAAGAACTTTAAGTTACAAAAGTAAATAACGCGCCAACAAATGTTAATAGAAATATTCCCTCCGTTTTACAATAGATGATTTTTTAACCAAATACGCACAGATTAATAAAATCATTAATTTTTTGCGTATTTTTAAATAAAAAACCTCATTTAATGCCTATATAAACACAATACAACCAATGACAAAATAGTTTGTATAATATAAATTATTAAAACCAATAAAATTATAATTAATTTTGCATAGATTTATGAGAAAATCATCTATGTTTTGAAAATAAAATAAGGCTAAAAGATCATTCCTTCTATAATGGAGAGAGTATTAAATAACATGCCAAAAATATTAAAGTTGACAATTATTAAGTATGCAAAATTTAATGACCTGAAATTAATAAATTATGAATTTACTAACAAAAAACACAAGATTAACTTTATAATGTTTGACTATAATTCTAGGGTTTATGGGTATAAATACATGGACTTTGAGAAGAAAAAAAAATCATTGAATCCAAAAATCTCTAAATGTTTCAATGATCTTTTTCATATATCTATTTTGGGTTATGTAATAATTCATGCAGTTTGATGGTTTTTGCAACTTGAGGCATCAAGAAAATAAGACTTGGATCCGATGAAGCCACATTATGGTTTTATTAGTATTGAATTTGAGGTTTGCCTCTCTGTTAGTGATATCATTGTTTCATTTTAAACAAATCTTAACTTGTTTCTTGTTTTATTTTGATTTTCAGGTGGAACAATATATATATATGATGAGGTTGATGCAAAAATATTATGTTTTCATATACAACTATGAGCCTTATAGTTGAAGATTTTGTTTTGATATTAACGTAGAACTTCTTCTAAAATCTCCAATATGATTTTCTGAATTTTAGTCCTCTAGAAAAGTATTAACCCTTTTTTTTTTAATGGCAATTAGAGAATGCCAAATGTTAATTTTTTTACTAAGGTTTCAACTGCCTCTGTTGCAAATTAACATGGTAATTCTATTTTTTGATATGACATATTACTTAATGTATTCATCTTCTTCAGAATTCACTATTTTAGTTTGTATAAGACACGTTAAAATCTTAAGAAAAGAATTAACTTTTGGCTTTTTGTTGATTGCCGTAAGGAATAGGGTATATTTGTTTCTTGGATTTTTAGAATTAAACTTTTTTTTTATGTTCAATAAGAGAGTGAAAATGGAAATAACGTATGAATCTTACAGAATCATGCATTCTTTATAGTTTTCCAATACAATACTATTACAAAAAATTATTGATAAATAGTTGGACTATATAAAATGAATAAAAAATATATTTTTTTGTATGCCTTATAAAATAATTTACTATGTCTTCTTTAACAAGGTATAAATGTAATTATATTAAATATAAATAAAGTGACAAATATATGTTTTTACAGTTTAACATGATAAAATTGATGTCTTCCTCTGTCTATTATTAGAAGCAAAGTTTACAAGTTTGGCGCGTTATTAAATTTTAAATTTTTTAAAAACTAAATCATTGTTATTACTCGACGTATATATTATTGATATACATACATATTATTTTCAAGTTAATTGGTGATATATTAACCGACTCTCTACTTATAATCCAACATATATATTATTGATTTAGGACATTAGGAATCGAGTATTGTAAATTACAAATTAACGTGTTTTTTTAATTCTTTTCCAAATGATGAAAGAAGAAAATAGACACTGAATATCAACATCGTTGTTTTTAGATCATCTTCACAAATCCAATTAAGAAACTCTAAAAATATCCTATTAAGCAAAACCTTCATGGGGTTTCTAAGCGAGAAAGTGTCATTTAATACATCAACTTTTTAAATTTAAGCTTAAAATCTATGAATTTGTGGGAAGTTATTCAATATATTAAGTTTTTGTTGACCAAAGCCAAAAAAATTACATTTGTTTTTATTGTTGTGTTTGGAGATTATTATCGCCATCAAAGCAATCACATATTATTTAAGATTTAACTTCTTAGGTCTCATAAATATTAATAAAAACATATTAAAACAAACACAAAATATACAACATACATTTCTTTTCTTAATAACTATTAAAAGAAATTGCCACGCGGTGAGTCGCTAAAATCTACTGTCAACTCTATTTCGTCGAAACTTCTTCTGTGTCATTACGAAATATATAGACACTTTTTTAAATATTTCATGAGAGAGAGTTAAAATCCAACTATAGTTTTAAAAGGTTTCGCATTGAGCCATCAAGTAAATAAGGGAGCTCTCAGAATATATATATATGTAAAAGACATAACTAGAATTACATATGTTGCCAATTCTAGGAAGATGTTTCACCATCGTTAAAATGTAGTGCTATGACCTATGACCTTTAGCACAGGGAGGAATTACTTTGAAGAGGAATGCATGAAAAGGTTACATGTCACATGTGCAAACGTTCATATTGAAAAAAACTGAAAATGTAGAATACTTTGAGCTTTGACAGATCCGCTGGAAACAAAAGGTGCAAGATAACTGGAAATTTACTTTACATGTTTTGAATTTGCCTTAACTCCTTAGCCACTTGTTCAATCATTGGCCTCTTCTCTGGCAATACGTCGACACATCTTGCAGCGAGCTCAGCGGTAGCGTTTAATGCGTTTTGCTTTGCGTCGTTTATCAGATTCGACTTCAAGAACACCAAAAGATCTCTTCGTGTGGGTAAAGGAACAGGTATTAGAGAAGACTCTGCAGCTGGAGTGAGGCTTGGAAACCGATCAGTACTAGAAGCTTGAATGAACACATCATGAGGCTCTAGTCCAGTCAGGATCTCAATAAGCGTAGCACCAAATGCGAAAACATCAGTCTTCTCGTTAAATTTGCCAGTATCTACTGATTCTGGAGCTATAAACCCTATTGTTCCTTCAACCAATGCTTGTACATAGGTTTCACCTAAGGGAATTTCTAGGGAAAGTCCGAAATCAAATAGCTTGGCGTTCAAGTTAGCGTCAAGTAAAATGTTACCTGTCTTCACATGTCTATGAATCAAAGGTCTGGATTTGCCAACATGGAGATAATCAATCGCAGCTGCAACCTGAGCAGCGATACGAACCTTGCATCTCCATGGCAGAATCAGTTTCTCTTCCTGCAAGTAGGCAGATAGATTCCCGTTTGGTACATATTCAAAGACAATTATCGGTACCTTGCTCTCCAAACAACAACCGAGAAGCTTCACCAGATTCCTGTTCGTACTGACGTATGCAGCTATAGCGATTTCCCTTATGCAATATTCAACGAGCTCATCATGATCATTCGTTTTCTTGATGAGAACAACTCCTCTGTTCTCAAGAACTCCCTGAAACAAGCTGTAGTTGTCGTCAAGAAGTAAGACAAGATTTTGGTCGTAGTCTTTGGTTGCTTGCTTCAGCTCGTGTTCAGAGAATACACAGAAAGGGTTGTAGTCACCATTCGAAATACGGATTAGTTCTTCAACCAGTAACCCTCCGTTCTTCAGTGATGATATCTCAGAGCAAGATGATTTGTACGATGTTGTCCTCTCCCCTCTTAAACAAGAAGTCATTAGTTTTCCCAAGAACATGGTTTTGATTTGAAGGAGCAGACATACGAGATCGGGATGTATTTTAGCAGGACTTTTAGAGTTGACCCAAAGAGAAGAGAAGCGTCCCGGACATTTCATTATTTATTGACTTTTCGCTCACACAATCCAAAATTTTGACAATTTAGTCTATAAATAAGTTTTTTATTTATTTATGAATATGATAAATTGATAATCATATTATACATGGTTGAATTCATTTTATTCAGGATTTTTATAGAAAAAATAAATAAAATATATTTTCTTAATTCGTATGTAACAACTTTAATTCCGCATAGTTCAGTTCAGTTTTTTTCATTACAAGACCATATATAGTACAAACCCAAAACTGTTCTTTCTTATTGTAAATAAATATTGATTTTGTGTTTAGAACCCTTATGTGAACCTAGTATGAGATAAACTGACTTGATTTAATTATCCAAGCTTCAATGATGATACTTTTTAGGACATTTGGTTCATTTATTTACTTTTTCTGTTTTGAGAAACCTATTTGAAATGTTAAAACTTCATTTTATGTAAGATCTTTTTCTTTTGGCTAAGATACCGATTGGTCTTATTGATCAAAGAAGAAGTGAGTTGAACCGATTTGATTATTATATTTCCTTTGTTAATCATGTCATTAGTTTAACGCTGTCGAACAAATCTAAATACTTAGGTTTGTTTTGTTGTTGTGTTTGGATATAATTATCGACATCAAGGTAATCACACTAATAATATCGGAAAGTGAGCTATTGAGCTTACATACTATATCATCTAGGCTTTAACTTTTTAGGTCTCAAGGAAGCTAGTCCCCAACAACTTAAGCTATTTTTAAGGTCTTAGAATAGCTAAATTGAAAACTTTCTGTGGTAAAGTGGAAAAATATTTCGACACTCTTTAGTATCAACGGCATAGTCTTACCACAATGTCGTCGGTTAATCACGGCCAAAAGTCAATAGTATGTATGGTACTACCTATTTGAATGATATTAGACACAATGATGTTCGAATGTTTTGTACTTGTTCAAAATTCACAACTTAAAAACGCGCAAAAAGAACTTTAAGTTACAATAGTAAATAACGCGCCAAAAAAGGTTAATAGAAATATTCCCTCCGTTTTAAAATAGATGATTTTTTAACCAAATGCACACAGATTAATAAATTATTAAATTTTTGCGTATTTTTAAATAAAAACCTCATTTAATGCCTATATAAACACAACTCAACCAATGACAAAATAGTTTGTATAATATAAATTGTTAAAACCAATAAAATTATAATTAATTTTGTATAGATTTTTGAGAAAATCATCTATTTTTGAAAAAAAAAAAAAGGCTAAAAGATCATTCATTGTAGAACGGAGGGAGTATTAAATAACCTGCCAAAAATAATAAAGTTGACAATTATTAAGTATGCAAAATTTAATGACATGAAATTAATAAATTATAAATTTACTAACAAAAAACACAAGATTAACTTTATAATGTTTGACTGATTCTAGGGTTTATGGGTATAAATACATGGACTTTGAGAAGAAAAAATATCATTGAATCCAAAAATCTCTAAATGTTTCAATGATCTTTTTCATATATCTATTTTGGGTTATGTAATAATTCATGCAGTTTGATGGTATTTGCAACTTGAGGCATCTACAAAATAAGACTTGGATCCGATGAAGCCACATTAGTATTGAATTTGAGGTTTGTCTCTCTGTTAGTGATATCATTGTTTCATTTTAAACAAATCTTAACTTGTTTCTTGTTTTATTTTAATTTTCAGGTGGAACAATATATATATGATGAGGTTGATGCAAAAAATATTATGTTTTCATACAACTATGAGCCTTATAGTTGAAGATTTTGTTTTGATATTAATGTAGAACTTCTTCTAAGATCTCCAATATGATTTTCTGAATTTTAGTCCTCTAGAAAAGTATTAACCCTTTATTTTTAATGGCAATTAGAGAATGCCAAATGTTAATTTTTTTACTAAGGTTTCAACTGCCTCTGTTGCCAATTAACATGGTGAATTCTATTTTTTGATATGACATATTACTTAATGTCTTCATCTTCTTCAGAAATTCACTATTTTAGTTTGTATAAGACACGTTGAAATCTTAATAAAAGAATTAACTTTTGGCTTTTTGTTGATTGCCGTAAGGAATAGGGTATATTTGTTTCTTGGATTTTTAGAATTAAACTTTTTTTTTATGTTCAATAAGAGAGTGAAAATGGAAATAACGTATGAATCTTATAGAATCATGCATTGTTTTATACTTTTCCAATACTATACTATTACAACAATTATTGATAAATAGTTGGACTATATAAGATGAATAAAAAATGTTTTTTTTTGTATGCCTTATAAAATAATTTACTAGATTTTCTTTAACAAGGTATAAATTTAATTAAATTTAATATAAATAAAGTGACAAAGATATGTTTTTACAGTTTAATATGATAAAATTGATGTGTTCTTCCTCTGTCTCTAATAATAGAAGCAAAGTTTACACGTTTGGCGCGTTATTAAAAATTTAAAATTTTTAAAAACTAAATCAATTTTATTACTCGACGTATGTATTATTGATATACATATATATATATCATTTTCAAGTTAATTGATGATATATTAGCCGACGCTCTATATATTAGCCAACATATATATTATTAATTTAGGACATTAGGAATCGAGTATTGTAAATCACAAATTAATGTAATTTTTTTTTTAATTCTTTTCCAAATGATGAAAAAAGAAAATAGACACTGAATATCAACATCATTGTTTTTAGAAATGCATCATCTTCACAAATCCAATTAAGAAACTCTAAAAATATCCTATTAAGCAAAACGTTTCATGGGTTTCTAAGCGAGAAAGTGTCATTTAATCTATCAACTTTTAAATTTAAGCTTAAAATCTATGAATTTAAGCTTAAACTTTTACAAATTAATAAAATTTAATATATTAAGTTTTTGTTGACTAGCCATTTAACAAATGTTGTTAACCAAAGCCAAAAACACACATGTCGTTAGATTGGATAACTGAGCAACTAACTATAGTTATTCTAGTCCTTTTTGGTTTCGCCCGCTATATATGATGTGTAAAATGGCTAGTCAACAGATTTTTGACGTAGTAAATAACGTTCTACAAAATTTATTTATTTATTTTTCCTAAATTTGACCAACTATAGTGACTTGTGTAAGACAGTAAGAGTGTCTAAAATGTAGAAGCATGGGTGTAAGTGTGCGTGTGTGTGTGAAGTAGACGTAGTAGTGTGAAATTTTGTAAGAAACTATTCATGAATGTTAACAATCTATATTAACATTTTTGCAGCAGCATATGAAATATCCTGAAGTTCTAACTTATTTACCGACAATGCCATTGATAATTTTTTTTATAAAATTAAATAATTTAATATTAATTATCACAATATTTTTGGGTATTTTCCATAAAATTTTCAAATTGATTACGAGTTTCCTTAATTAACTCTACCAAAATCCCTTATTAATCGCATATTATTTTCTATAAATGTTTCCGAAAATAAAATGAAAAAAAAGATCAGTCTTTAAACTATATATACCTTAAATATTATATGCCTAACTTAAAAATTAAGAATAATCCTACAATTAAGGTAAGCTAACTAATCTAAGATTCCATAACACCTATATAAATCAATATGTTTTCTATAAATATTTTTAGATCATTTCGATTTTCAATTGTTTGATTTTTTTTTAGATAATATACTTGCTTAGAAAAATATATCTAGGATCTATCACCCTTAACTTATCCCTAACATCTTCTTATTCCACTATAAATATAGATAATTTAAAGCAGCTAAGAACACAAAAACGATTTCCAACTATAGATTGGATGGACCCTCCTCCTACCAAAAAAACTATAGATTGGATGGAACTATTGAATGAATTATTACATAACAAGCAAAAAAAAAAAAAAAAAAAAAAACTTCAGGATCCCAAATAATCCCGTTTCATATAGAAGGGCATTTAACTTTAAACTTCTAGATTGGATGTCCTATTATATTTTACGAAAGTTTCTTCCTTGAGAGTACTCTAAACAGGTGATATTAAACGTATAATAAAAATACAATTTTTTCTGCATATATTGCAATTTGAATTTTTTTAAACAGATGTATATTACAATTTTTTTAAGCATATGAACAACATCCACATCAGGTATAATTTTTTTGATAATGGTTCAGAACTTTTATAAATAAGATTATAACCTTTCAACTACAAATGATGAGACGATAAACATGGGTTGACGGGACGGGTTGTAAGACGGGAAGGGTTGTTAACTACATATAAAGTTTAAAATATTTTGAATAATTTGAAACTTTTATAAAAGTTTAAGTGTTATTAATATTTTAATTCTACATTAAGTTTATACTAAAATATTATTGATTTTGCCATTTTTTTAAACTTGGATTTATTTTTTTGGCGATTATATGACATGACGGGGTATAAGACGGAGAAACTTGTAATATGCTTCCAACATATTATATGAGGGGACGAGTTGTAAGATGGAACGAGTTTGAGTTGATATTACTAAAAAATTATAATATTATTAATCTTACAGTTCAATATGGGTCCTTAAACTTTTTTTTTATAACACCAAAATAAAATATGTGTTATTAAACTGATTAAATAAACATTGATATTATGCAATTTTAATAATTATTAAAAATTTATATTAAAATTTTTTCTCCCGCGGTGTACCGCGGGTCAAAATCTAGTGTAGTATTCAAAATTTTAAAGTTGTATTTAAATGTGTTGTTGCGTCTCTCTCTTAACAAGACCACAAACTGAGAGACACATAGTAAAGAGTGAGAAAACTAACCTTTGAGAGTGAAACAGAGGCAATATGTGAGAAAAACAACAGTAATCAAGAAGAGAATGGTTTTCGAATCAAAGCTTGATAAAGTAAGTGATTTGGCACTCATAAGAACAATCTTTGAAACACATGTGACATATCTACAAGACTTTCTCAATTGAAAATTTTTAAGAGTTTTGAACTTACAACTTTTAACATTGAAAACATTAATATAATAATTAACCAAAGAATTCAAAATGTTTACATCTATTTCCTCTCAAATTAGCAATATACATTCTTGCATATCTTCTGACCCTTCATAAATTTTTATTCATCAATCTAATTGTTAACCCACTTCAAGCAAAGATCCGCTTTTACGGGTTTATGATCAGAGCCATATATTTGGTCTATGGAATCATAAGAGTGAAGAGTTGCTTGAAAATTATCAGTGTCTTGGATCTTGAACAAGATCCTATCTGTCCAAGCTGGAACTCTAACCTTATGACTTGTATCATAGTCGTTGCTTCCTACATTGTATTTGTAAGTTGGTTTAAACCCTAAAGTTCCTTCAGAGTAACCCTTGAATATTTCACCTCTCTCAGCTTCTTGCAAGAGTTGATCTTTACTCACAAGAACCTGCAAAAAGAAATAAAAATCAATAGGATTAAGATTATGTAAAATCTAACACATCTACTTAACATAATATTACATTTCCAAGAGAGAAAAAAAAAATACAAAAAAACAAAAAGGTAGAGATCAGTTTCAAAACAAAACAGATGATATAATATTTATAGTAAAAAATATTAATTGGATTTATTTCGATTTATTATTAACCGAAAAATCCGAATCTCTTTCTTTCGAATAACTAAGAGGTTCTGAGCATAAGCTCATACTTTCCTTAAGGCCCGACAGAGCATATTATATGCTCTCATCCCAAGAGCTACTAGAACCAGTAATCACTAGACTTTTGCGTGAGATCTTTACTAATTAAACTATTGGCTTTTGGTATGAAAAATAAAATCTTCATTCTCTATAAGTATCAAGATAACTAATGTTTGCATTTCATGGAAATGGAGAAAGGACTTACGGATTGAAGCTGGTTATGGATAAGAGATCGAACAGGACGGTTAGAGACATCTTGGATCCTGTAATTGAGGTCTCCAAGCCAAACAGTAAGGTCACGTTTCCTTTTGTCTCTTAATAAAAGTGAGTTTGCTATGTGTCTCAACTCAGTGTTTCTTTGATCCACTTTTTTTGCATGAGCTGCATCATCATTACAATAACAATTATTTATAACTTTTAATTAACTTAAAATTACCATCACCAAATGAAGTAGTTAAGCTAAGGTACCAGAGAGATGGCAAGAGATGAAAACCATATTGATGTCATCGTAGTTGATACGAATAGCCACGGCTCCTTTTTTTCTACCTATTAAACCTCCACATCCTCCTACTGAGTGTCTCTCAGCCTTTAATTCTGCAATTAATCTTACAAGATTATGTATTTTTCCCCATTGTATGAACATCCTTGATATCGAATTAAGTGCCCTTATGAAAATTTTAATATAAAGTTTGGCATGAAATACAGAGCTTTTTACCTTAAGTCCAAATTAGTTATATAGAAAAAGGAAGAATACAACAGAAATGTCAACAATTAAAACGTGTTTTATAAGAATTTAATGAAACTTATAGACTATAGTCTCTCTATTTTTTCTTTGTGTCACAAATGCCAAAACAGTACAAATGTGGAAGTCAAATTATATATCGATTGAGTTAACAGAAGAAGTAAATTTGTATATCATCTCCCCATTTTGGTTGCAAATATTACAAAAGTGAATAAATACTATTATTTGTTGTTGACAGCCAAAGAAAAAAGAAAAGAAATTATTATTGAGATTTTTTTTAATCTATTTTTTTTATCTACATTAGTTTAATATTCTAGGAAATTGCATAGATATTTTTTGACGAAATTATTTATATAATTGTTAAAAAAATATACATCTAATGAAGATAGATAAATATGTACCTTTTACTAATGAGTGTGAGTTCGTTGGACCAAACAAATATAGATGGATCGATTGCAATTTAGCCTTCCCAAGGAGCCTGCATATGGATCGAACTTTGCAATGTTAATTACAAAGAACACTCTTTGGTGCCTATATATCAGTAAAATAGAAAGAATGTGTAGAGAAGCTTACTCGTGAGTTGGAGATGAAGCCGTCTCCAAAAATTGAGCAACGTTTGCTTTTGGAGCTTCTTGTAAGCCAACCACAAGCAAATCGAACTTCCTGTCTTTGCCAAGAAGCTCAACCAAATCCTCATATGATACCTTCACATTTATATAAAGAAACAATCAATGATTAAATCGTAGTTGAAACTTGAATCTAATACTTTCTTTTAAGTGGAATCCCCTGGTTAAAGTGGAAGTAACTAGTGCTTTCGCATTTGAGGGAAATCGATCCATGACCTATACCAACAAGGCAACTCCTAATCTCAAGTAGAAACCATTAGACAAAGACCACTTGGTTAAATCTAATACATACTCTTTGTGTTCATCTTACGTACGTACCTTTCCATTCATGTTCCATGTGATGATACGGATGCAAAGATCTGCTTTCCTAGCAAAACTACAACTCTTTACAGCTTCGATTGTTTTAATACCATCGTGATGAGATGAGTTGTTGTTGCCAAACGAACCAATAGGAGTTTGCTTGTTGTTAGAAAACCTATAAGAAATATATTACAACAACACAAGACATTAACAACGTAATTAAGTTAAATGTCTATATTCATGATCTACAAAGACAAACATATATTTTTCAGATAGAGAACAACGTAAAAAAGGAAGATTCGTATGATAAGACAACTATTACCTTTTAAGTCCAAGCATCGAATTTGTATTCCCCATTGTCTGCATGCAGTGTTTCTCAACTAAAAGCAAGATTCTTAAGGTTCTTATAGAGAAAGAGAGAAAGAGAGATGAGTCTAGAGGAAGAAGTTGAGATATTTAAAGAGAAATGATATAATGAGAAATTTTTCACAAAGTCATCATCTATATATATTGATTGAGGCTGCTGATATAAGATTAGGCACATGCAATGTCTTACGTGGTTTTCTAGGAAAGTTAGGTGAATCAATGGTGTTGACTACGAAGACGTGTACGTCTTCAAATGGACGGTCGAATTTGATAATGACTTTGCTGGTTTTACATTTTCTTCATTAGGAAATCTCTAGAGGATATATAAAAGTACAGTCGAATCTTTAGAAGTTTCAATGTTGATATTATTTAGTAAACAAATGCGGATGATACACCTATCCACAATATCACATGTCATGTAATGTTCATTAATTGTGTTTTTTGTGTGCTTATGCAAAATATACGGTAAAACATTTAAAATTATTATTATTGGGACCAAAATATTTATTATTTTATTGAAATATCAAATATATAAATATAGAAATTTTCTTGAAATACTTGGTTGAGTTATTTATTTATTTTTTTAATTATTTTTTGTTATATCTTAACTCTTAAGATTCTAGAAAGGTTTGTCCACAAAAAAAAAAAAAAAGATTTTAGAAAAGTACTAAAAATTAATTTTTATTTTTCTATTATTTATTTGTATTTATATTTTCATGTACTAGCTAGAATGGGTAAAAGTGATTAGTCCATTTTATTCAGCATAAAAAGTGTTATGTTTTAGCAAAATGTAGAATATCTTTTGCAGCCATTTTTTTCTCCTATAGACTATAGTTTTTAGTTGATTAAAAAACGTTAAGTTGGTTTTGAATTATTTGTGAATTGGTTCAGTTAAAAGCTTTTTTTATTACTGTTTGTTTGTTTACTTGACCTTTTATGTATGCTACTCAAAGTGACTTGGACCACATTTCTTCAACTACAACATAAGACCTAATCAAGTGGTCGGTCGTGACCATTCATGATTTAACCATTAAACTAATAAACTTCGTCTAGTTTGTCTTTTTAACTCATTACAGAAATTACATATACTACATCCAAAGATTATTTCTAAGAGTTTGAGGCTGAAAAAATAAACTTAACATGACTTACCGGTTAAGTACTAAATCAGTTCGGTGTGATATATCATGACAAGCATGAATTAACCATTCTTACACCATAGAGTTACTTTTATTATCCATTACAAACAAAAGAAGAGAGTTACTTTTATTCAAATTTTACTTTTAAATTGATTAAAGATCTCAAAACTACTACATAAAATGTTCTTATCCATTAGTCATGGAGATTTTCAACAAACTAATCCTCCTCCACATATATCATATACATAAGATGTTCTTGTCCACAAATTTGTGTTGATGTTGGTTGTTGAAAGTTTAAACTTCTAGTGGCTCTTCTTCTATTAGAAGTGTTTCTTTTCCAGTCAAACGGACAAGAATATGACAAGTGGACGTATTGCTCTATGAAGTAGGGTCCTTGTATGGACTTTTTTGTGTGACATTTCTGAAGGCTCTATACAATCACATCTCCTATAAAAACTAGTATAGATCTTCCGGTCCCAGAGCCTTGAAATTGTAAAGGCCATACACATAAGTCAATAAGCAAAACCTCTCATTCCCCAGTCGATCACATATGCTAGCTTGTATTAATATTGAGCTATCTTGCTTGTTCATTAAGGTAGACCATGCATGGTACACTACACATCAAGCTAAATACACTCATGTAGGAAACAAGTTTTCATCATCATGCATGGGGTGCACCAGCTTCGTATATGTAGTAGCAAGGCAGTTTTCATGTTGAGAATGAAATGTTTGGATGTTATTGTGCCATGACTTAGGATCTTCATCTAATCGGTGTTAAATTTTATGAGTTTCCAAGTTCAAATCAACTTGCAATAAGTAGATTAGCCCATGTCAATTCAATTCTCATATTTCAGATATGAAATTTGTCTTTACATAACCTTTAAAAATTATGGCTTTTCTAATACTTATAGAACAAACAGAACAAATATGTAGACATTTATATAGTTTTATAATTGTTTTAAGTTTTAACAATCAAACATTTGAAATCTATAAGCCCATTTAATTCTAATTTTTAAATAAAATGGGCTTATCAAACATTTCAAATTTATAAACCCATTATATATTCTAATTTTTTATATAAAATGGGCTTATCAATATTTCAAATTTATAAACCCATTATACATTCTAGTTTTTAAATAAAATGGGCTTATCAAATATTCTCAAATCTATAAACCCATTTTATTCTAATTTTTTCACCACCAAAAGTCTCAAATATTATTGTTAGTATGACACAAGGATGAAAGACAGAAAAAAAAAGATCAATGGAGGTAAGACCGATTCAATTGGATTTTTGATTGGTTATTGATCTCTTCTTCAACAGCATTGATTTTATTTTTTTATTCTTTGAATTTCACTGATGAATTTTATAACTATTAGAAAGAAAAAAAAAATCATACTACGTCTTCAATTTCTTTATAAGTTGTAGAGTCCTTAGCTTTATGTTTGTTACTCTTACATTTTATAGTTCAATACATCTTGATGCTACACTTTCAGAAACGGCATGTCTCATCCTAGTTGATGTGTTCTAAAGTTTGACATAAGGACGAGCTAACTCAACTTCTTGAAGCATAAATTTTGACATTCAAGAATTGTAGAATTATAAATAACAACGTCAAAACAAAAACACACATTTTAATGAAAGAGTTGCATGCGACCAAGTTCTACAACTTAATTATTAGACCAAAGTTCTCGTAAAAGGAATGTAAAGTAACAACAAAACTGTGGTTTGGTCTGATGATTATAACACAAACAAAGAAGGCAAACAATAGAGAAACTCTACTGCTGACTTGCCTTATCCGCAGTCGAGGTTGCACTTGTACTTGCACCATCTTCAGTCACAGCTACAGTGTCCGCTGCATCAGTGCAGCTGCACAAGAATCCATTGAAGAATTGTACTGTAACAACTCCATGTCATACCTCATAGTATCCTCAAGACTTTTCTCTTCATAACTCTATTTATAAATCATAAACCAAATCCATTAAAATCTCATTTAAGGCTTAAGAGAAAGAGAGAAAGAGAGAGTTTAAAATCAGAATGTGTTATGACCTGTCTACAAGATTCAGGGAGATTGCTCCACATATTCCCAATTTCCTCAGTGAAAAAATCCCTGTTCCCACCGAACTCATCTTTGAACCAAGCGTGTTGCTCGGTAAAGAAGAAGTCATATGCACTTCTTGGTAACTTAGGAGATGTTTTGGCTTTCTTTTTCTTGTGTCTTTGTGGTTTAGGAGGAGCCTCAGGAATGATGTACATCACTCCTTTGAGGTCTCCTAAACCCGGCCTCTTCACGGTTGTAAGATAACCACCTTCGAATTCCCCCTCGATGATCCCAATAACTATGTCGCCAAGTTCCAGTTCTTGAAGTTCTGAAAATGTTTCATAAAGCAAATCTTAAACACTCAAAAAATAAGCAGAAATTTGCAAGAGAGATATGAATATTTAAGTACACATGTAACATATCCAAAACCATGTATGTGTATATTAATCTTTGGTCATTTTGGAGAATTAAAAACATGAGTGGTATTTTCATACCTTTGCCCAACAATGTAGAAGGTGGAGCTAAGTAATACACCTGCTCAAACTGAAAGAGCAATTTGAGATAATGCTTCCTTAGAACACATGATGCATTTCTTATAGGTTTCTCGAAATTGAATGCATCAATCACTTCTTTGCATTTACGATCCTTGATCACCTAGAGAATCAATATGATTTAGTTGTAAAACAAAATTGTTTCTTGTATAGTATATTCTAATGAATCAAAAATAGCTTTAAACCTTCATGTTCAATGGCACTATTAAAGAACTTGTTACCTTTCCAATACCACCTCGAGATGTGACCTCGATGAAAAGCTTATGCAGATTGAGACTGTATCCATCCAAAGTAGGAATCCTAAGGGAAAAAAAATCATATATATTCCAACAAATCAAATCTTATTCAAGCAGAGTAAATCAATTGAAGCTCAAACAATGAACCTATATATCAAAAGAGGAGCATAAGATCAAAGCAATTTTCATTTCCCAACATTTTACTATTCAAAACAATTTATTTTGCATTAGCATAAAAAAAAAAAATTAGACATTCTTAAACATTTTTATGGCTTAGCATTTCAGAATTTTCTGTAAACCAAATCATAGATTGATTTCACACTACAAGTCTGAGAACAAACTAGATCTAATTCAATAAACCATACACTAACAAACAAAATTTATGAAACCCTTATATTTATTTTTTTCCTTTCAAAAGTAATAATTGGGCCAAGGCCCAGATATAGTCTTTCTTGGTAGAGACATAGCTTTCTAGAATATTCTGTAAGAAAAATTACCACCCACCTAACGTTTCTCGAACCTGAAGAAACACGTCTTATCCCTTTTAGAATGACGATGTCTATGCCACTCGGCCAAGCAAAATTAGTACTTAATTATTATACAAATCATTTATAACCCACACCACAAAGGATAGGGAATAAAATTGTACAAATCGCTATATATTTATCAATTTAGCAAAGACAACGGTTTTTCCATCCATAATAATAATTTGTTAATTAATAACTTCATCAAAAAACGAAGAATCAAAGAAAAAGTATGTATGTAAGCAAATGAAAAACTCACTCAAAAAGATTCCCACAAGATTCGAAAAAATCTTTGAGCGTATCCCAGAAAAGCGTCGGGTTTTGGACAAGTTTATGATACATAGCTGCACGAGAGGAATCGTCGTTGTCTGAAGCAGAAGAGCCAATGGTAGAAACTACTTCAAATTGTGAATTAGGTGTTGACATGACTTCTTCTCGGGTGTTTTTGGTCGAAAGGTTAAAAAACAATTGCTCAACTTTCAGAGATAATATGAACTTTTATACAACTTGCATTTTTTCATCTTCTTATCTAGAATTAGAGGTCTAATTTTCTCTTTTTATCTATACCACACAAAGGGTACATTGTATTTCATATTTTCCTTTTTAACATAGTACACGCGCTAATTCATTTTAATTTACAGCTGGTAGCATAATCTTGAATCAAATCGGATTTTGAAATGTTTTAAATGTAGTAAGAGGATAAGTTTTGATTAATATTAAATGTAAAGTGTGAATTTTGCTTTAATATTTCAATAATATAAATTGTTTGTTATCGTGTTTTGGTTACATTGTTTAATTTGTTCTGAAAATAACTATAGTAAAAAAGGTTGCAACTGATTATTGAATAATAATTTGGAATAGGACAATATATTCAATTATTTTTCTGAAAATATTTTGTTTGGTCAAACTTTTGTAAAAATAATCAATTAAAGGATTTCAACTATAAACAGTCATTTTCATTAAGGACCATCCAGTATGAAAAACTCTTGCGAAGACCACACTCAAAAGGGTACACTCAAAATGAAGGAATTTATTTCAACGAGATATTCCCCAATTTATTCAATATAATTTTTTCCCCAATGGTTAAGTTGACATCAATCAAACTAGTGCTTGCTTTGTGTGATATTCATAGCTTCTCTCTAACTCAACTTGACATTTCTAATGCTTCTCTTAATAGGGATCTTGATTAATTAATCTGTATTAAGCTTCATCTTGGTTATGTTGGTAGTAAGGGGTATTCTCCGCCTCCTAATGCAATGTGTAAGCTAAATAAATCTCTCTATGGGCTTAAGCAATGCATAAAGACAGTAGTTCTTGAAATTTTCTTCCATTTTGCTAATTATGTGGTTCACACAGTCATATGATGATAATACTTGTTTTCTCAAGATCATTGACACTTTATTCTTATGTGTGTTAGTGTATGCCGATGATATCATAATTGCAAGAAAAAATGGTTCAGAAGTTAACATTTTAAGTCTAAACTCCATTCTTTCATCAATCTGGAAGACGTAAGACCTTTGAATGTTGGATGGTTTATCTTGCTTGTGTGTATAACCTAGTAGATGGGAGGACCATCCCACTGAATATTTGTGATAATACTCACACACCTCTTTTTGTTGTTGTGCAGGTAAAGAGAAAGTGTCATCGTGGAATCATGACAAAGAAGAGACAGATCATCTATATAGGATTTTTATTGTTTTATTATGTTTTATTATTGTTGGAATCTTGGATTAGTAGCATGTTAGGATTTGTTGGCTATTGAATTCGTTTGTTTGATGGTTATTTATTTATTTGGTGTTGGTATTATTTCTGCTGGTTACGTGGTGCTTCAATTTGGAATGCGTAATTAATAAGTATGAGATTATTGGTTGATAATTTTTTTTAAAAAGGGTTGGATCTTTTCATTTTTTCTTGATATTGAGTCTTACTTGCGACTTATTGGAATAATGATATGTATTTGCAAATCACTTGACTTGGGATTACCTTTGTTTTCAACAAGCTTACAAGATTCTTTACTACATCACATGCACCATTGGTCAATTTCTTTTCTACTCAACCAAGTAGGAACTGGAATTCCAAATGTTTGTTGATGTATTATTCCTCTTGCTTGGATACAAGTCAATCTACCTCTGGGTTATGCGTCTTTCTAGGTACTTTTCATTTCTCAGAAATTTAAAAGGAAACAAGTTGTATCCAAGAGTTCTGCAGAGGCTGAATATCGTAGTCTTTCAAAGGCCACTAGTGTAAATTACTAATTTCTCAAGAGATTATTGGTTCCGCTCTCTAAACCCACACTACTCTTCTATGAAAATGTGGTTGCCATACACATTGCCAATGAATTTGTATTCCATGAATGCACTAAGCATATTGAAAATGACTGCCATAGTATTCGTGAATGATTAGTTGTTGGAGTTTTTTTAATTGTTTCATGATAGATTTGAATTACAACTTTCTGCTCTTTTAACTAAGGCTCTTTTAAGTCTTTATCGTACTCGCTTCCACTAATCCATTGGCAAGATGAGTCTCTGCAATATCATCGTCCCATTTGGAGAGGGACTATTAGTGTGTATAGAGTTTGTATTCAGTTTAATTTTAGATTACAACTCTATTATACTAATTAATGTTTCATCTTTAACCTAATTATTATAGCTAACTAATGAAACCACTATTGTACTAGGCTTGATTCACTTGGGGCCTAACAATCTTGACTCCTTTAATTTGACCAAAAGCTTGTTCTTTTTTTACTTCTGGCCTTGTTAGCTTTCTTATTCATGTAATTAACTCCATTCCTTCTAGGAGGACTTCTCTTGATCCATTGCTTACAACTATCTTTTCTTTTCATGTTTCAATCAAAAGTGATTTCAAATAGCATTTTCATAATTTAAGAAAACTGCCCATTTTAGATTGTATCAGCAATAAGACAGTTAGACAGATAGTTTTCAAAGTTGATAAGGTGTAGCTTCATCCATTACATCATGTCACTCAGAACTATAATCTTGTACATCATCTTTGACCAAAAAATTATTAATTTTTCTATACAAAAACGTATGTCAATTTTTTTGGTTCATTATAAAAATACTCAGTAAAAAAAAAAAAAAAAATCGACCAGTTCAAGGCGATAGGGTAAGTTGACCAAAAGACCATTGCCGTTGTCACACTTTGCACCACATTTTATGGACTAAACAGAGTTATGTGATTATTTATGTCTATGGCAGAAGTGTTTTCAAACGAGTTGGTACGTCTTAATTGGTCCATTTAACTTTAGTATCTACCCACTCTCTTCTTTTCTAATTATGCTACGCATACATATATGTGTCCACAAGAATCACAATTGTAATACTAATTACTTGTACGAGTCGGTTAAATCCTTCTACAAGAAACTAATGTGTGACCTATTCACATTATTACCACTTTTTTTTTCCCTCAAAAAGCTTCATTCACGTACCAGTCCTCCGGTTTTTTCCCAAACCAAACCGACTTTTTCAGTTTTCGGTTTAAATTTGGTTTGGGAATAGATTCATTCCAAAGGATTAATTTCAAAACATGTTTGGTATACGGTTTGTTTTGGGTTTGGTTTGGTTAGCCAAACCGATCAGTAACCTTTAAAAAAACCAAAATCATCCTAAAACCAAATCAAAGTTTACCAAAATTAACCCAACTCAAATCAAAATATATACAATTTAAACAGAAATTATCCGATCAAAACAGTTTTAACCGGAGAAACCCAAAAAAAGTGGTTCAATTTGGTAGAACTTCATCAACTAAAATATATCGAAACCCGAACCGAACCGCAGCAAAGCCTTTTTTATTGTACCAATTTCAAACAAACTAATTGACTCGGTTTGGTTTGGTTCGGTTTGTTTCGGACACACGGTTTCGGGCCAAACTTTTTAAGGCATCACCTAGCCTTGGCCCAAACAAAAATCGTATAAACTTATTAGAAAACAATGTCGTCATTTTCGAGAGTAAATTCTTGACAAATCTTCTTTGGACATTTTGGCACCTACCCCTGTCTCCATCCTTGCTATTTAATCCCTAGCAGAACAAAGAGAAAAAAGCTAACAAGAAAAATTAAAGACAGAGAGAGAGCTTCTTCTCTTCTCACATAGGTCCGAACATGGTTGGTAAGGATAACACTTTGCCGTTACTTGACCCTCGTGAGCCACCGGAACTCAACGGAACCAAACCAGCGTCTAAAGTATGGGCCAAAGAGTTCGGCGAAGAGTCAAAGCGGCTTTGGGAGTTAGCTGGACCAGCGATCTTTACTGCCATAAGTCAATACTCTCTTGGTGCACTCACTCAGACTTTCTCAGGTCGTCTCGGAGAACTCGAGCTTGCTGCTGTCTCAGTTGAGAACTCAGTCATCTCCGGTCTTGCCTTCGGTGTCATGGTATGTAACGTAAACCTTTTCACACGTGTCTTGTTCTTGATAAGTTATGTTGTGTTGTGTTCCAATAAAGGCCACACAAATCTAATATCAAGTATTTTTAGTTGATTGGGTTATTTTATTCTATTCGTTAAAATCAAAGTAGATCTTCCCATACATTTTATAAATTGTTTCTTATTTTTGCAAATAGTATACTTCTGGTTATAACTGGTTAATTAATTTGGTGACAACAAAAAAGTTTGTTTACTTTTAGGTTAAAGTTCATTACAGAAAATAAAGTTTAAATCTATCAATTTTACTGAAAATAGGTTCAAGTCACTTTTGATCTATACATTTCATCAAAAAGATTACAAGTAGGGAACTAGGCCATATAAATATTTACACAGTAATTGCCTTATTGGGAAATATATGAGTTCCTTAATTTTTGAGGCACTGGAAACTGATTCTGAAAATTAATACACCCATTTTCAAGATTACTTTTATGAATAAATACATTTTTCAAATTTATTGTTACAAGATATTTAAATAGTTAAAAAGCATTATTGCAACTTGAAACTTGTGCTTTATCCTTATTAAAAAAAACAAAAAAAAAATAATATTGGACCATCCCTTTTATTTTCCTTCCACTCACACAAGTTCTTTCTGTTTTCCAGACTATCACCGAAAATATAATTATGACTAAAATTTATGAAATTCAATATCTTTTAATAGCTTTATCAATGATATATTTCTAGCTCAATAATAGTAGAACATTGATATGGTACAGTATATCCAAAATAACCAAGAAAATCCAAATATAAAGTGACATTTTCATTTTCCACATATGCATAAAAGCTTGTGTACTACAAGTAATCCTGATGAAAGGTTTCTTGAAAATGTCCTGATCCTATAGTTAATATAAATAGAAAGGGAAAATTTTTCAGATTTGGTCTGTAATAGGTTAGAATATATAGTTATAAAAATTCTGTAGAGTTATAAGATTTTGATAGAGTAAAGATGAAATATAAAAAGTTAAAGTAAGTTCCATATGTTGTTTGTC